TTTTGGTCAAATTATCATATAACTTAGTTGTAGTGTACGTACGGAACATTCATTAAACATTTTCTGTACATGCGTTCACTAAAACTCATATCACGTTCTGAACGTAGTGAATACATTGCATTGTATTTGTGTGATCATTGGCTCATGGCGACTAACTCTAAGTCTAAGTCAGAAATATACTCTCTCGCGCGCGACGCTCGTAGAAGCATTTCTCGCCAACCGCCATGTTTTAGTAGGAGAACACAAATAGGATTGCACCTCATTTTGTATCAGTCTGTAAAATTGATAATTATCAGTCTGATAAAATAACATCTCAAAAATTTGCCCCACGAAAAACCTCACCGAACCTCCACGCGGTTTGGGGTGGGTGGCTCGAACGGGAGGTGCATGGGTGTTTCTAACCTAGTAACCTATGCAAAGGAAGGGACTAGCCATCTCTACATAACAACAAGGAAAGGCTCTAATAGTAGGGGGTACTGCACGATAAAAAATAAACTTGCTCGGATTTAAAAAATTTTTGTACCACTGTTTTCTAAAGACTGTGAGAATTTTCACAATACCAAATTTGTCATACTTTTTTGAAAAAATCAATAAGTTTCGCCTACTCGCCAAGGTGCCATATTTGATGGTGCGCGGCTTTTGGAGCAAAAGTAGCTGTAAAAGTCGCGTAATTTGACCAAATTCGTCCTAATTTGACCATTTTTGTCGTATTATTCGGATTTATCTTCAGTTCCTTTAATGAGATCATTCTGGAAATTGGCGACGACCTTCCAATAGGGCTTTCACAACTGTCCGAAAAATTTGGTGGATATCGGAGTTGATTTAGTGATCAAAATGGGGCAAAATACGCTGCTTTTAGTTTTAGCTGTAACATAATGTCTGATGGTTGGATATGCTGTAAATTTTTCGGACACTTTCCTTGTAAGTCTATGAGTAAGCTTACCAATTTTTGTTGCAATTGGAGGTCGGGAAGGATACTCAATATCTATTTGTTTGAAGAAAATTGTGCTGGCCGAAATTAGCGCTAAAAAACCATCCTACAGTCGGCATGCGCGGCTCCTGTCGATGGCGCACTACCTACTAATAGCCTCTACTAACCTTAAAACCGCAGCATAACCGCTTTTCCCACAGGCAAATAACACCTTCCGCAGGAAACTAACACGCTCACAGGATCCCACATGACGTGTAACCCCAGGATTCGGTTTTGAATCGGACACTGAAAACAACGATAGAGGAGCGGTCTACACGCTCACAGGCTACCATGTATCGTGTAACCCCAGGATTTGACACGTTCACAGGCTTCCATGTCTCGTGTAACTCCAGGATTTAGCACGCTCACAGACTACCACGTCTCGTGTAACCCTAGGACTCACTTAACAGACTCTAACACGCTCACAGGCTTCCACGTCTCGTGTACCCTAGGATTTGGTTTTGGATCGGACACTCAAAACAACGATAGAGCCAGAGGAGCGGTCTACACACTCACAGGCTACCATGTCTCGTGTAACCCCAGGATTTTACACGTTCACAGTGCACAGGCTACCACGCCTCGTGTACCCTAGAATTTTGTTTTGGATCGGACACTCAAAACAACGATAGAGGAGCGGTCTACACGCTCACAGACTACCACGTCTCGTGTAACCGCAGGACTCTAACACTTAACAGACTCTAACACGTTCACAGGCTTCCAGTTCCACGTCTCGTGTACCCTAGGATTTTGTTTTGGATCGGACACTCAAAACAACGATAGAGGAGCGGTCTACACGCTTACAGGCTACCATGTCTCATGTAACCCCAGGATTTTACACGTTCACAGGCTACCACGCCTCGTGTATCCTTGGATTTGGTTTTGGATTGGACACTCAAAACAACGATAGAGGAGCGGTCTACACGCTCATAGACTACCACGTCTCGTGTAACCCCAGGATTTAACACGCTCACACTCACACTCACAGGCTACCACGTCTCGTGTAACCTTAGGACTCTAACACTTAACAGACTCTAACACGCTCACAGGCTTCCACGTCTCGTGAACCCTATGATTTGGTTTTGGATCGGACACTCAAAACAACGATAGAGGAGCGGTCTACACGCTCATAGACTACCACGTCTCGTGTAACCCCAGGATTTAACACGCTCACAGGCTACCACGTCTCGTGTAACCTTAGGACTCTAACACTTAACAGACTCTAACACGCTCACAGGCTTCCACGTCTCGTGAACCCTATGATTTGGTTTTGGATCGGACACTCAAAACAACGATAGAGGAGCGGTCTACACGCTCATAGACTACCACGTCTCGTGTAACCCCAGGATTTAACACGCTCACAGGCTACCACGTCTCGTGTAACCTTAGGACTCTAACACTTAACAGACTCTAACACGCTCACAGGCTTCCACGTCTCGTGAACCCTATGATTTGGTTTTGGATCGGACACTCAAAACAACGATAGAGGAGCGGTCTACACGCTCATAGACTACCACGTCTCGTGTAACCCCAGTATTTAACACGCTCACAGGCTACCACGTCTCGTGTAACCTTAGGACTCTAACACTTAACAGACTCTAACACGCTCACAGGCTACCATGTCTCAGCTCGTGTAACCCTAGGATTGAACACGCTCACAGGCTACGACGTCTCGTATAACCATAGGACTCTAACACTTAACAGACTCTTACACGCTCACAGGCTTCCACGTCTCGTGTACCCTAGGATTTGGTTTTTGGATCGGACACTCAAAACAACGACAGAAGAGTGGTATACACTCTAAAGTGACGTTACAGGAACATTGCACACTCCTACGAGTTGCACGTAGCAGGCCATGGAAGTCCCTGTCTCCTCATCGTTAACCCGTAAGGGGTTGCACCAGGGGCGGTGGTAACCGAACTAATTCAAGACTCTCGGAGTCTGTTGTCGATATCTATGTATTAGTGCTTTTCATGCAACAAGTAAAACAAATCCTTTATGTCATGTTTCCAGGGTTTGGACTGGAATTGCCCGCTTAAAGAACCTCCATCGCGTTACATTACATAGGTAATTTTCTGAAACATATATTACATTTACAATAAATTATGCAATATCACAACATTACAATCAACAAAATAAATTTAATCGCAGAATCTCAAATGCAAATAATCGTAAATTAAACACAAAAAACAAATTAAACATGCAATAAATGAATATACGAATGCGCATCTTTTGTCAACTTACTCCTTCATAAAATTAATTTTTGACAAAAAAATTTTTTAGACGGTAAAATAATGGTTACTAATTTATAAGTCACAAATAATAAATCAATACAAATTAATCACAAATACTAGAATAATTAATAGATATTAGGTAACTTATATAACTGAAAAACGATATATGTCGATACAAATGTATAATATAATTATGGTATATAACTTGGGAGTCTCTCTCTCTCTAGCAGCAGGAGTTGGAGAACTCAGAATGGGGACGCGTTGTGAAAGCCACCGCAAGGAAGGCTTACAGTCGACGCCGACCAATCAAAAGAAAGAACATCTCAAAAATTGGCATACATGTTTATTTTTGATAATCACTGACGTTCACTATTACTAACGTTTAATAACGTTCGCTTAAAAAAACTGGAACATGCGTTCAGTACGACAAAATCCACCGTTCACTACAACTAAGTTATAAAATGTCCGTGTATATATAATTATGTCCGTGAGTCCCGAAATAATGTCAATGAATGGTTACAATTAAATAATAAACTATGCAATTAATAGAACAATTGCAAATTGCCTCAGGTACTTTCTTTGTATGCAGTGGCAAAAGTCAAAACGTTCAACGTTGTCATACGTTGTACTACTACTACTAGTACTACTAGCCCGCCTGCCGCGCACGAGTGCGCGGCTGTATCGTAGCCACGATACCACTTAGTGAAACGACAATGGGGTCACGACGTGATACATCTACAAGCAAAACGTACCGATGTGCCCCCCGCTAAATTTCTGTTGCCACACATGCACCCTACAGCTTTTCGCCCCCCTCCCCCTGAAAGCATGTTGTTCCCCCAAATATGTTTTCGCGCCGACCGAACGTTCAAGTGGACGGGATAATACACAACCCCTCTCCCTCCCCCCTTCCCCTGGAAGACGAAGTTAACAATGGTGTATAGTACTTCAGTGTTTTAACTTTAAGTTCAATGATTCGGCTGAAGTAGACCGTGGGGCTGCACTGAAACCTAACAAAGCTCACCCCAGGGATTGATCATCAATCATTAATGGTACGTAGCGAAGCTCGAACTTAACCGGGACATAATTTTGATAAAAAGTACGTGTTTTTATTGACAGGAGTCTTAATTCGAGACCACCAGAGCACAGTCATGAATCATGGTGGTCATGGTAATTTTACCCGTTACAATTCAAGAGAGACTGTTGCTCTCTGATTGCTACCTGGTATACCAATAATGATACTGCATGTATGCACTTATTGCATTGTACGTTATTACCAGCGAATTTAAGAGGAGGTCGCCATGACAACTACAAACATCGAAGCTGCTCATTATATCGTTAATAGCTTTAAACCGATCCTTTGGAGAGAAGCCAACCAATCCAATCTCAGAGTACTGTCACGTGACATGTTCTAGCCACTCACCGATCAGAATGCTAGTCTACGAGTTAGGTGCCTCCTTTAAAGCTGCTCTCAAACTCTTGGAACTCAGTTGAAAATTAATTTCTTTGGATAGCGCCGTTACTCGTTAAACTAGAGACTTTAAAATCTAACTTAAAATGGTGAGTTTGATAATTTGTGGCAATTTGAATGATCATGATCTGAGCAATTCCAAAGTTCAAGTGCTCACCGTTTTGTGAACATGTTTAATGTTTATTTGTAACAAGATTTGAACCAGATCACTAGTAATTGCTGATCATGGCACTCTAAACCTTTATATAGTTTAAAGTTTGTCGTTGTTCGCTTTCAGCACTTGATCTTCAGTGGCGTAGTTATCGATAACATCGATAATATTTCAGCGTGAGTGTATCTCAATTCATCTTGGTCAAGCCGGTGTCCAGATTGGTAATGCTTGCTGGGAACTCTACTGTCTAGAGCACGGTATCCAGCCTGATGGACAGATGCCTTCTGACAAGACCATCGGAGGTGGTGATGACTCGTTCAACACGTTCTTCAGTGAGACTGGAGCCGGAAAACACGTTCCTCGAGCTGTGTTCCTTGACTTGGAGCCAACTGTTGTTGATGAAGTGAGGACTGGAACCTACAGACAGCTCTTCCATCCTGAGCAGCTCATTACAGGAAAGGTTCGTCAATCTAAAATCACGTTATATGACCCCTACAACTATCAATAATAATGTGTTGCATTTATAATATTAATTTGTATTTATAATAAAAATGTAACTCTTTTCAACATTATTATGAGAATATGAATAAAAACTCATAGCTTGTTTCTTCGACTTCAGGAAGATGCAGCAAACAACTACGCTCGAGGCCACTACACCGTTGGAAAAGAAATTGTTGACCTTTGCCTTGACAGAATCAGGAAGCTGGCTGATCAGTGCACTGGTCTCCAAGGATTCCTTGTCTTCCACTCTTTCGGTGGAGGCACTGGATCTGGGTTCACCTCCCTCCTCCTGGAGAGACTCAGTGTAGACTACGGCAAGAAGAGCAAACTTGAGTTTGCTATCTACCCTGCTCCCCAGGTAACTTAATTTTGGCCTTAACGTAAGTTGAGTCCCATAAACAATTAATTGATATTATGAATTTCCAACAATGTATTCTAAATAATGTTTATACGGATAAATTATTTTAGATTTCGACGGCTGTGGTTGAACCATACAACTCTATCCTGACCACTCACACCACCCTCGAGCACTCAGACTGTGCCTTCATGGTCGACAACGAGGCCATTTACGACGTCTGCCGGCGTAACCTTGACATTGAGCGACCAACTTACACCAACTTGAACAGACTGATGGGACAGATTGTCTCCTCCATCACTGCTTCTCTCCGATTTGACGGTGCTCTGAATGTTGATCTAACTGAGTTCCAGACCAACTTGGTGCCCTACCCCAGGATCCACTTCCCTCTGGCCACTTATGCTCCAGTAATCTCAGCTGAGAAGGCTTACCACGAGCAGCTTTCTGTTTCAGAGATCACCAACGCCTGCTTCGAGCCTGCTAACCAGGTCAGACTTAGTTTTATTATGATTAATGAGCGGTGCATGACAATACTACCCCACAGATTGAAACACAACCAAACAATATTTTCTAATTAATTGTTTCCAATAAATGTAAGAAATGTTAATAACACCGAATCTTTCAGATGGTAAAATGTGACCCTAGACACGGCAAATATATGGCTTGCTGTCTTCTCTTCCGGGGAGATGTTGTCCCAAAAGATGTCAACGCTGCTATTGCCACCATCAAGACCAAGAGAACCATCCAGTTCGTCGACTGGTGTCCCACCGGGTTCAAAGTTGGCATCAACTACCAGCCACCAACTGTTGTTCCTGGAGGAGATCTGGCTAAGGTCCAGAGAGCAGTGTGCATGTTGTCTAACACCACTGCCATCGCTGAGGCCTGGGCTCGTCTAGACCACAAGTTCGATCTGATGTACGCCAAGAGAGCCTTTGTCCACTGGTACGTAGGAGAGGGTATGGAGGAGGGAGAGTTCTCCGAAGCTAGAGAGGATCTAGCTGCTCTGGAGAAGGATTACGAGGAGGTTGGTATCGACTCTGTTGATGGCGAGGGAGAGGAGGAGGATGAAGAATATTAGACCAAATAGAGTTGGACTGTATGGCTGTGCTATAATATGATCTCATAATGAAGTGTTTATTTTTAAGACTACTCGAAATCATTAGATTTTGGAATTGGAGCTGTTTTATTTACTTATAATATGTATTCTGTATCAGTATATTGTAAAGTTTACAAAGATTTGTTTATTTATTGTATAATTTTCCCGCTAGCAATCACTGTTTTACTGATTTTTAATCAGACGTAAAAACCCATAGAAAAAGTGTACCTTATCGGATGAAATTAGACCGGATAGTACGTGAACACTGAACAGACATAGGTCTGAACGGACAATGGACATTAATATAAACGCTCGAAGCCAAAACTTGATACATATTAAACGTTTTCGTAATAATATTGGTAATCTTTCTTCGCTCTTATGAGTGGGTCGATCATATGATTATATTTTGAGATAGTTGGCAACGAAGCACGTTATTGCTTGTTGATTGTATAGATTTTTGTAAAATGTTTGTAATATTTCATGGTATTGATAGATTATTTTAACATTGTAATTTGCAGCTATGTAAGTTATTGTAACGTCCTGTCCATGACAAAGGCATGTTGCCGAAACGTCGAAAAATAATTTGTTTTGAAACACTGAGTGGAGACTCTCAGTCTCACTTCGTCACCAACTATCATCAAAATATATGTTTTCGTAATAACTTGTTACTAATTCCAAACAGTAAGTTTGTAGTTCTAGTAGAATACTTTTGGGAACAACTTTGAACGGACATAAATATGAACGCTAGGTTCTCCAGCGTCCACGTAATGTCCGTTCAAATAAAGTTCGATAAGGTACGTGTCAACTATGAGATACTTTATTGTAAATCAATTTGCGATTGCTAAATAAATGTCCAGTGGCCATTGCCCATTATCATTACATAGCTCCGTGTGCCAGAGTTGCCGATGAAGTCAGTTGTGCCCGCCCCACTGTGTGAGACCTACCTTCAACTCGGCTCATTTCTTGATGGAGCTACTTAAGTAATTAAGAGTCCACATATTTTACTGAAGCCGTTTAAGCTGCTGAGTTGCTGGTTGGTAATTGTTTGTACGGCAACGTCTCCCGATACAAACTGATAATATTTTAATTTTGTAAGTGAATAATTTCCGTATAGTATTAGTAGGCCGGTAAGATATAGTTTTACTACCTTATCGGACCTTATTTGGACGGACATTACATGAACGGACATAATTGTGAACGGACATTAATATGAACGCTCGAAGGCATTCAAAACTATCAATAATCCGAATTTTTTAAAATTTTTGACGTTTTTTTTATTTCAGCAAATGATTTTTTAATCCATTTTTTATACAGTAAGTAAGAATAGCAGTCATTAAGCAGTAAAAATGTTAAAATATGTGTACATGATCAGTGTCTAATATCACATATTATCTTCATTAAATAGGTTTTTTGCATGAAATAGTCCATGCTTAAACAAGCATCAGTGATTTCTAGCTTTGTGGAAACCTTTTTTATCAAACTACCCTGGTCCTGCATTTCAGTGTTAACTTTTACAAGCCATTCGGCGTGAAGTGGTTTTATCTTAGACAACTTAAGGTTAACCTTAACATCACGTGGAGCTTTCCTAGCACTGTTTCATTACCTCCCCTCAGTAATATGAACTATAAAAACGTCGGACAATGTCCTTGGCAACACGATCTACCGTAATATCTAGAGGCTGGAACAAGTTTGTCATGTTGGCGGGGACTAGCTCATGAACTATGTTGTTGAGTGTCATGATTTTGACCATTGTTAATGATCTGGCCCGGCGCGCGCTACTTCGTAGCACTTGCCGTCGGGCCATTTCGAGAAGAAAGCGGCGAGAAGAAAGCGGCGCGCGCTACTTCGAAGAAATTTAGACGAGTAACATCCGTCAAGTCATGATTTCGTTGACTTTTTCCGCCAAGTGACCCTTGAAAACATCATATACTGGTAGAGTTTTCTGTGCCTCCGGCAGACCAAGGAGAACCTTTCCGTCGTTAACTTACGGCACAATAAAGTTCTCATAGTTGTCATATTCTGGGTAAAAAGTTCGAAATTGGAAAAATTTTTGAAAAAATTTCAACGGACTTTAACTTGGACGGACATTAATTGAACGGACTTTATTTGAACGGACATTAAGATGAACGCTAGGGCCTCCAGCGTTCAAGTAATGTCCGTCCAAATAAGGTCCGATAAAGTAAAAGTAAAAGTAATATTTTAGAAGCTGCGATCGATAAATTAATGAAGCACTAGTCTTAAACATTGTTTGAGTCATATCATGTTGAACATCCTTAGAATCAGTTTAACTTTAAGTTCCTCATTTAAGATCGCATTTTAAAAGAGTTATTTATTCAGTTTCCCAATTTTGTATATCGGTCGGCAACAGCCCATTCTTCGCCGAATCTGCATCAGTTAGTAATAAGAAAGCCTACAAGGTCCTCCGATAATAATTTCAGGTTAGATTTCCATAAAGAATGACAAAAGAAACTTTTGATATTAGTAAGATAGCAATGAAGAACGAGAAACAATGTAATAATAATGAAAGATAATAGCACATTATAATTTATATGATGTAGAGTCTCAATATTTTCAGAATATCAAACAAAAGCACGACGTATGACATAAATTAGAGTCTAGTATTCCTCATCGTCCTCCTCTCCCTCTCCCTCAACAGAATCTACACCAACCTCTTCGTAATCCTTCTCCAGAGCAGCTAGATCCTCGCGAGCTTCGGAGAACTCTCCCTCCTCCATACCCTCTCCTACGTACCAGTGGACAAAGGCTCTCTTGGCGTACATCAGATCGAACTTGTGATCTAGACGAGCCCAGGCCTCAGCGATGGCAGTGGTGTTAGACAACATGCACACTGCTCTCTGGACCTTAGCCAGATCTCCTCCAGGAACAACAGTTGGTGGCTGGTAGTTGATGCCAACTTTGAACCCAGTGGGACACCAGTCGACGAACTGAATGGTTCTCTTGGTCTTGATGGTAGCAATAGCAGCGTTGACATCCTTGGGGACAACGTCTCCTCTGTACAGCATACAGCAAGACATGTACTTTCCGTGTCTAGGATCACATTTCACCATCTGAAAGAGAAGTTCCGTCAATAATCATTAATAAAATGTGGTGGTCGGTATTGCTGTTACACTTACAGTGCAAATATTGTACAATTTTGGATTAACTTTATCACTACAGCAGATTACCCGCATATGATTTCAGATTTTCTATGGATATGATCTCAGCCCCTTCTTTAAATCCCGCTATAACCATTGTTTGACATATTTTCAACTGACGCGGACGTGAAGATCATAGAAAAAGCTGGTTGACAAAAGGTTACTATGCTGCAAGCTACTAACATTGCCTGTATGATCTCATAATAAACTTGTTATGTGGGCTCCCTCTGATTTTCAGGCAACTTACACTCCACCATCCCCATGAAAATGATCTACCTACTTGCCTACACACATTCTCAGCAAAATTTAATCTAATAAATGTAGAGAGTGTAGTAATTATATTTAGAAGACAAAACCATTTGCATATTGTATCACGTGACAAAAGTCACATGATGCCTTTGTGGTCTGACAATATAATAATGCCTATAGCAACAACCACTCATGTGATTTAGCATGCGCAGTTCCTTGAAATACCACGTGACCGAGCGACAGCCTCAATAGTAGTCTAGAAAATGGAGGGATAATTTAAAATTTGGCGGTTAATAGGGTCGTAGGTACTAACATGAGAAATTGTGTTTAGGGGCTGTATTGACATGAAAAATAGCTATAATAAGTACAGATCATAAAAAACCGCTCATTAATCATAATAAAACAAAGTCTGACCTGGTTGGCAGGTTCAAAGCAGGCGTTGGTGATCTCAGAAACAGAGAGCTGCTCGTGGTAAGCCTTCTCAGCTGAGATTACTGGAGCATAAGTAGCCAGAGGGAAGTGGATCCTGGGGTAGGGCACCAAGTTGGTCTGGAACTCGGTCAGATCAACGTTCAGAGCACCGTCAAATCGGAGAGAAGCAGTGATGGAGGAGACAATCTGTGCCATCAGTCTGTTCAAGTTGGTGTAAGTTGGTCTCTCAATGTCCAGATTTCGTCGGCAGATGTCGTATATGGCCTCGTTGTCAACCATGAATGCACAGTCGGAATGCTCGAGGGTGGTGTGGGTGGTCAGGATTGAGTTGTACGGTTCTACAACAGCAGTGGATACCTATATAATTATTGATTCATTTAGTCCGAAGTAGATATTAAAACTACACCCGAATTAATAGTTTTAGTTTCGAAAGCAAGAATATCATCGAGCAGCATGTAGGGCAACCTCTTTGTTGCTTGACAGTTACCTGGGGTGCAGGGTAGATAGCAAACTCAAGTTTGCTCTTCTTTCCGTAGTCTACACTGAGTCTCTCCAGGAGAAGGGAGGTGAACCCAGATCCAGTGCCTCCACCGAAAGAGTGGAAGACAAGGAATCCTTGAAGTCCAGTGCACTGATCAGCTAGCTTCCTGATTCTGTCAAGGCAGAGGTCAACAATTTCTTTTCCAATCGTATAGTGACCTCGAGCATAGTTGTTTGCTGCATCTTCCTAAATATTATGAATATGAAATTGATTACAAAATTGATTACAAATACAAAATGACCCGCACAAAAGTCAAGAAAACGGATAAAGAGTAGAAATTTCAAATTACAATTAGCCGTGCATATAAAATTAAATGTGACAAAAAATATATTCAAAATAGAAAACCTTTCCGGTGATGAGCTGCTCAGGATGGAAGAGCTGTCTGTAGGTTCCAGTCCTCACTTCGTCAACAACAGTTGGCTCCAAGTCAAGGAACACAGCTCGAGGAACGTGTTTTCCGGCTCCAGTCTCACTGAAGAACGTGTTGAACGAGTCATCACCACCTCCGATGGTCTTGTCAGAAGGCATCTGTCCATCAGGCTGGATACCGTGCTCCAGGCAGTACAGTTCCCAGCAAGCATTACCGATCTGGACACCGGCTTGACCAAGATGAATTGAGATACACTCGCGCTGAAAGAAAATTTTATAGAAGATCCGAGATAGAGGTCAACTTCAAGATCGTTTCAAAAGATTTTTTGACTGTCAGATAAAAATATCTCACTAATACTAATACTATGACCTAGTTTTGGACACTTAAAGTTAAAAGTAATCACGCTGATCGATTGCTCATAAACTTAATTCAAGACATGCATATGTATGTTCTTCACTACGCAGTAAGCGATAAGACGTAGCCTTAGTCCTTATAAATATATATTACATGTCATAAAGCCACAGTTTGGATGAAATATTATTCAAATTAGAGCAATTTTAAGACGTTTTGCTGACTAACCATCGTGGGGTAGGATCAAAATCTTTAGACTCAGAGAGAGTGACGAATATCCGAAGAAAGTAATTTCGAAATGATACACCAAGCTGTCGAGAGCAGTATTGCCATGTGTCCTTGGTCTACGCGTGGCTCTGAGTCGTTACCTGATTGGTTGGAATCTATCCCACGTTCACGTGAGGCGCGCAGTGATTGGTCCTCACGATTTGCACGTGATCTCAATTCATTGAGAACCATAAGATGCATCTCTCTATGAAGAAGAGCCTGTACGAGTTGTCATGGAAATACTAAACATAACACAACCTTAGTCACAATTGTTACTGTTAGTGTTAGTATTGTAACTGTAAGTATAACCGTTACCAGAATTATAAACGGTAAAAGTCTCCGCCACAGTAACAATGCTTACACTCTGCGCGTGTAATCTCTTTGTCCGATAAATCTTGGCGGTTATTTAGTTCATCCTGTGTGTTCCGAGTGTGTTCCGAGTTGGAATGATAAAATAACTGTATTAACGGTAAAAAAAGGTTTAACTTGATTTAGATATGTTCAATGGTTGATAATATGGTGTTTGCAGCACTATATAGTATATAGTCTGGTTTGAGGCATAGAAAATGTGGGCGCGAAAGTTGCATATTGAGGCCATTAAATTTAATGAGATAAGAAATCTGGTATTAACTTAATTAAGATTCTGCTAACGACGCTACTCGGTGGCCTTTTAGGCTAGTTAATGCAAGTTATTTGATCCTCCGAAATTCAATCCCACGAAGTTTTATGTCGAGGTTCAGCCTCATGGGTATGAAATATAAATTTCCGGTCCCCGAGAAATCTCCTCGACAGGTATTTTACTTTGGTCAAAAATACTCAAATCAAAGATTCTAAACTTGAAGACTTATACTAATAGTACTTTTTCTTGACTCGGCGGGATATTTAATTATTTATTTGGTCTGGAAAAGTTAGGCTACCTCCCAAGAGATGTGATTCTTGACTGATTGTCAGAGAAACTCTGTCTAGCTTGACAACAGCGGGAAAGAAAGGATAAAATATGTGAGTCAAACTTAATGCAGAAGGATTGGAGGCCGGTTCGTGAGTATCATCTGCAATAACTGGGAAGTGACAGCCAGCGATTCAATTCGGGGCAACACCAACTTCTTTAATTCTTGTTCTCAAGCCAGCAATATACTAATAGAGAGATAAGAGAGAACATTTCTAAGAGTAAGAGTTTTATAAGTCTGTTATGTGAGTAAATATTATAATTTCCATGGCAACAGAGCCTCCACTTGATGGGAGACCACTTGTCATAATGAAATGATCTAATCATATTATCAAGTAACCATAGCGACCGAGGCCTTCTCTCCCTCTCTCTCGCCCGTTCTTTACACGCTGCCGCTAGTTTTGTAAGTGATACATTAGGAGTGGTCACGCGCGCAGTCACGTGGGCGTCTGCCTTGTCTTTTGAACTAATGAAAGCACTCCTCTTTGGCACGTGACGCCTTTCTCGACCAATCAGCGTAAGGCAGGATACTCTGCGTGTACCAGCGCATCTCTTTAAGAACTGAGATGTCGCATCGAGCTCATTCAGAATTTATTGTCTCGGATATTTGTCGTTACTCCAACAGAGTCTTAAGATTTTAATTCAGCTTAACCATGGTAAGTCACATCCCCTTCCACGTAAACCCCATTAATGTTCATTTGATCCTGTTACACATCTTGACATCTTAGTAAACATCAGAATAGTTCTTTGATCTTGTATTAACTATTTCATCACTCTCGTTCAAAGCTATCTTCTTTCAGCGCGAGTGTATCTCTATTCATCTTGGTCAAGCCGGTGTCCAGATCGGTAATGCTTGCTGGGAACTCTATTGCCTGGAGCACGGTATCCAGCCTGATGGACAGATGCCTTCTGACAAGACCATCGGAGGTGGTGATGACTCGTTCAACACGTTCTTCAGCGAGACTGGAGCCGGGAAACACGTTCCTCGAGCAGTATTCCTTGACTTGGAGCCAACTGTTGTTGACGAAGTGAGGACTGGAACCTACAGACAGCTCTTCCATCCTGAGCAGCTCATCACAGGAAAGGTTCGTAAATCTGTGTTCCCTCTTGACATCTAAAACTATCATCTACAACAATTCAACTTTACTTATAATCATGAAGAAAATGTTTCTCATGACTCAAAGCACGCTTTTACAGGAAGATGCAGCAAACAACTACGCTCGAGGCCACTACACCGTTGGAAAAGAGATTGTTGACCTTTGCCTTGACAGAATCAGGAAGCTGGCTGATCAGTGCACTGGTCTCCAAGGATTCCTTGTCTTCCACTCTTTCGGTGGAGGCACTGGATCTGGGTTCACCTCCCTTCTCCTGGAGAGACTCAGTGTAGACTACGGAAAGAAGAGCAAACTAGAGTTTGCCATCTACCCTGCACCCCAGGTTTGTAATACTTCTCTAATCTTTTCATGATCTTTGGTTATTTTTAACACAATTCTTATTACATTTGCTCAATCAATACTTTGTGCTTCCCATTTAAATAATTTTCACGTCTTCAGATCTCTACTGCTGTTGTAGAACCATACAACTCTATCCTCACTACTCACACCACCCTCGAGCATTCCGACTGTGCCTTCATGGTCGACAACGAGGCTGTCTACGACATCTGCCGACGAAACCTGGACATTGAGAGACCAACTTACACCAACTTGAACAGACTGATGGGACAGATTGTTTCCTCCATCACTGCTTCTCTCCGATTTGATGGTGCTCTGAACGTTGATCTGACCGAGTTCCAGACCAACTTGGTGCCCTACCCCAGGATCCACTTCCCTCTGGCTACTTATGCTCCAGTTATCTCTGCTGAGAAGGCTTACCACGAGCAGCTCTCTGTTTCTGAGATCACCAACGCCTGTTTCGAGCCTGCGAACCAGGTCAGCCTTAACTAATTACCCTTTTAAGGGTTACTTTATTTTCCCGGCCATCGGCCAACGATTGCCAAATCTTAGATTCTAATTTATAGTTTATTCTCCTCATAACTTAACAGCAAAACAAGCATCTTGCTGTTAGTTAAAATCAATTCTGAAACCCGATACATGCCTAAGGTATCCGGCCACGTTACAAATATGATTCTGGTACATTCAGTTCAAAGAGTCATTTCGTAATACACAACGTGCCGTGAAATCAGTGCAATTTACCGTTACATTTCCAATTTATGATAACAGAATTTAACATAAATGCCTGGCCGACAAGTTGTGATAACAGCAATTTATTGTATCATAGCCCCAAATATTGCGATAAGAAATTAACCGTCCGTTTATTCGAGGAGATAAAAACTAGTTCATTTCAGCAGATAATTGCTTTATCTCCGAATATAACGGCTAATTTTAATATATCTTAGCTTATCCAAACAGATGGAAGTTAAATGGATGTGCCTCCCCTGATAAATGAGATTTCTCTGACTGAGCCATTATTTATTTCTCAGTCTCATGAAACTATGATTGAAGATTGTCCCTCCACGGCCATTTGATAGACATGAATTCAGCAATATCGCTGCAGTGCTAGGCGCTAGCCCTAAATGGGAATGTCAAGCAAATTCGTTGAATATCTCACGCTGACCTAATTTCCTGCTTGACAGAATCACATAAATGTCACTCTGACCCAGTCCACGCCACGACAGTCTTGCCTCTTTTGAGAAACGTAGAGTGTTCTGGAATGTTCAGTCGCCCCTAGTAACCGCTAAATTTTAAATTATCCCTCCATTTTGCAGACTCCTAATGAGGCTGCCGCTCGGTCACGTGGTATTTCAAGGAACTGCACGTGCAAAATCACATGACCGGGCGTTTCTAAGCCGCAGTTAAGGTGTAGGACATCGAGTGCAGCATGTGACCCGAACACGTGGGCCAGTCTGTTAATACGTGATATCTTTATTACATTCTCTACACTGATTTGATTACATCTGAGAATGTAGATCATTTCCGTGGGAGAGGTGTCTAAAGTTACCAGTTTCTATAGTATTGGATGAGCCCGCAAGGTTACAGCAGAACTCATTACATCACGTACTGTTATAATTGCGGTATAGTTACCCCTTAGCAACCGGTTACTGCAATGTTGCTGTTAGTTGAACATCAATACAAACTTAGCTGAAGCCTGAAATGCTTGACGTAAACGAAAGACTGAGTCCATAGCTAGAATAGTACTAGTAGACGAAGATGGGGGTGATTTTATTTTTATTTTGAAGGTCTTTCGCACACAAAAAACTTACTACCGTTTGTTGTCGATGATTATTGACGGAACTTCTCTTTCAGATGGTGAAATGTGATCCTAGACACGGAAAGTACATGTCTTGCTGTATGCTGTACAGAGGAGACGTTGTCCCCAAGGATGTCAACGCTGCAATTGCCACCATCAAGACCAAGAGAACCATCCAGTTTGTCGACTGGTGTCCCACCGGGTTCAAAGTTGGCATCAACTACCAGCCACCAACTGTTGTTCCAGGAGGAGATCTGGCTAAGGTCCAGAGAGCTGTGTGCATGTTGTCAAACACCACTGCCATCGCTGAGGCCTGGGCTCGTCTGGATCACAAGTTCGATCTGATGTACGCCAAGAGAGCCTTTGTTCACTGGTAAGTGTTATAGTACTTAGCTCATACATAGAATAACTTTTGTTAAACTAGACGGCCGAGATAGACTGATATTTCCCGTCTAATGTATTAATGGTTCAGTTACACTCTATTTTTAACCAATTGTCTAAACTATAAATACATGTAGTTTCCTGTAAGACACCCTTTATACTGTGTCTGATAAGATTCTGAAATGTGTTAATCTAACAATAACCTGTGTTTGTGGCCGTATTTATTGAGTATATCACATTCGGGACATATGACTTATAACAGCATGGTTTCAAACTTTTGTGTCTTATAATAGTGTACATTGTAGAGAGAGAGTGCTGTGCCACATTCTTTTTCACCACCAAATATCCTGCACCATTATTTTCCAGCTTGTATTTATTCCCTTTATTCATACCCTACAAAGCAACAATCTTCGCGTGCAGCGGTAGAATTGCTCTCAAGTTATTACACCCAAATAAGGAATAAACTGCCTGAACGAGAACAAGTCTCCCCACCAATAACACTAAACTGTCTCTGTCACGTGGCTGCTCTGTGGTCGTGTACAGTTATTACACAACCACGGTTATTACACGGTCCAAATCATATGCGGCGTGTAACTGTGTGTGATAGTGACTGACTACTAGATCTTGAACAATGAACACACAAAATTTAGTTATTCATATGCGAATGAACGGTCGATTTACGTGTATTTCTCTCAGGTACGTAGGAGAGGGTATGGAGGAGGGAGAGTTCTCAGAAGCTCGCGAGGATCTAGCTGCTCTGGAGAAGGATTACGAAGAGGTTGGTGTAGATTCTGTTGAAGGAGAGGGAGAGGAGGACGATGAGGAATACTAGACTATTCTAGAACTTCCACTCCAATCAGTAGTTGACTGCAAAGTTTCTCAATAAAACAGTTTATCTTTGTTTCAGTTAAATGGCCTGCTTGTAGCTGCCAGTCTTTAAGTTTTAGTTTGCAATTATGACAGTTATGTTAGGATCGCTTTGCAAATCTTTTAATTTGCTGTTGTAATTGTTCTCTTTAATTTTTTCTCGAAAAATTTTTAGCTAGCAAACTTATAAAATGTGTCTCATTTTGTCCTTAAACCCCCTAATTATATGTGACTACAAATGCTAAAAAGACAATTTATTACGTGACTATCGCCAACAAATAGATATTGATAAAATTACATGATTGAAAATTGTTTTAAAAACTTAAAAATTAACAAATAAACTTTGCCACAAAATCAAAGTGCTCCTCCACAAAAGTAGCAATGTAAGGATACATATGATCATACCCCGGCCTCAGTCTATAGTCTATGTTAAAGCTAGGGTTTCCCTTAGTTGCATCAATAAAATTCTGTGTCAACAACTCCTTCTCTAGGAACCTATCCTCCTCTCCTTGGCACACCAACATGTTGAGAGGCTCTACCCCTGAAGTTGGAAACTTTTTAGCTAACTCAGTTGCATCCCAACAGGGCCACATTATATCGTCCTCTCCTAAGTAGTTGCTGAAAGCCTTGATCCCCCATGGCCCCTTGGTTGGGTTGGAGATCGGGGCGAAGGCTGTAACACATCTGAACATGTCTGGGTTTCTGAGGCAGATAACCAGACTTCCATGGCCCCCCATACTGTGCCCCGACAGTGCTCGCTTCTCTTCACTGATATTGAAGTTCTCAGCGCAGGTCCCCACCAACTCCTTGGTTACATAAGAGTACATCCTGTAGTTCCCATTCCAGGGAGAATTAGTAGCGTCCAGATAGAACCCAGCCCCTGAACCAAAGTCCCAGTGATCATGTTCCCCCGGGTGATCAGAACCCCGAGGACTAGTGTCCGGAGAGATTACCACCATCCCTCGCTCAGCTGCATACTTCTGCATTCCGCTCTTGATAGTGAAGTTCTCGTGGGTGCAGGTTAGGCCGGAAAGAAAGTAGAGAACAGGAAATTTATCAGATTCGGCGGAGTAGGTCGGAGGAAAGTACACCGAGAAGTTCATTTCACATTTGAGCTCCTTGCTCCAGTGCTTGAAGGTACACTGGTCCCCTCCAAAGTACTTCTGTCGTGACGTCTCTGTTACCTCGTACATGGTTTTAAACCTAGTTAGTGGAAATTTACTTTATCATACTCATAGGGGGGGGGGGGGGGGGGCCAACCATATTAAAGTATATTAAAGTATATCCCCGGGTCAAAATCGGAAAAAATCCTACATTTTAATATACTTTAATATACCTACAATTAGAAGATTTATATTCTTCGTTAAGATTTACATGATGAACTATATTTTTCACTCAGATTCGCAAGATAAGCCTGTTTTAGGACTAGTACATGAATTTCCATCCAGATTGGTCAAAAATTGGCTGAGCTATGAGCTTAAAAAAATATGCCCATATTTGGGCATACGCTTTTGCCCAAATTCGCTTTTGCCCAAATTCGATAAAATTTCAATATTTTTTAATGAGACTAACTTCATGTGAAAGACATAACTCAGTGTTTGTTGAATATAGTGGATACTAAGTAAAAAGGCCTCCATGACCAAAATTGGGAAAATTGCACATAATATCTCGGTTCGGAATAACTAGCCAAAATGACTTCATTAAAATTGAAATAACTCCATCAGTTTTCAATATTTTTTCAAAAACTTTTTGGAATAGATTAAGAATTGCATTTCAAGCTTATTTTGGGCAACAATTTTTGAAGTAGGCCTCCTAGGAGATAGGGATATATTAAAGTATATTAAAGTATATTAAAGTATATTAAAGTATATCCCCGGGTCAAAATCGGGAAAAATCCTACATTTTAATATACTTTAATATGGTTGGCCCCCCCCCCTCTCATAGCATAGACATAATAATGTAATCATTAATCAATCGATAAATTAATCATTATAAAACGATCGGATATTTTTCGTAATAAAATAGGGACAGAAATATCAAAAATGTCCCGCTAAGCTGCTTGGCCAAATAATTTTGGCCGCAAACAGAGTAACACTGAACTCACAACAAATGAATTGGAGACGATCAACAATACGACCACACCAGTGGCAGTATTTGTAATAGCGGAAGTTGAATGAATTTACTCGGTTATGTAGCACGAATTCCCAGAAAACGTGAAATTTGAAATTCTACTAGGTAGCCTTCTTCGCATTCGGCGAATTAACTAATTTGCAATGGAAGTTTGATCACAGATGTCATGTAAGTGGAAATTGCAATTATTTGGACTACTAATTTCAGTAATACCATTGAAATACGTATTTTCCCAAGAAAACTGTCTTTAGATGGTTAGGTATTTCCGAATACTGTGCATTTCCTAGTATGACTATGGGAATCTTTTCTGTGACAAAATTGAACATTGTTGTGTACCTTAAATCAACTGCACATCAATTTTCAATAGTATCGCATCGGTCAATATACAGTAAACATTAACCACCCACAATTTCTCCAATTACAATATATATGGAATGTGGATACCTGAATGGCTTCATTCCACAATCCACATATCACTCTAATTCTAACTCCTTCGTTTCCTCGCCCCATTTCCTCGCCCGGCGTCCTTTCTTTGGAGAATTGCCATATAATACCCAGAGGTAGGAAAATCATTCGACCACAAAAAAACATGACGTGACTTAGAAATAAGTAATAACTATTAATCATTAATCAAGTACATCCATTATCTAAATAATCTGAAGAGATAAGATACCTAATAGTATTAACAGTAATTAAGCAGTAATTCAAATTTGATGCAATTGTCATATTAAACTTTAAGTTTAATAGGAATTATATGTGAAGGAGCACGGATATGGCATTGTGCATTGTCAAAAAGTTATCACAACAAAAATTGGTTATCAATTATCATGCAAAATAAAAATCAGACACTGTTATATAATTTAGTGGTTTGAGTTTCTCATTTTCATTAAATATTCAATCTTGTGTTTATAGCTGTGTTTCCAGGGGACTGTTCCTGTTTCGTTATTCTAAAGTTATTTTGCAGCATAGGTGCACTGCAGCGATGATGTTTTTCAGATGAGCTATTAAGACACCATTAATAACGTGCCCTTCAAACTCTACTAGCAGTTCCCATCTTCCCTTTAGATCGTTGATTAGATCGGCTGTAACTTCATTATCAAAGAAATCTGAGGAGCGAAGGATGGTCCAGCGGTTATGACAACCATCAGTCTCAATATTTTCCTATTCCTCAGCGGTTGTTGGTGTCTCAGTGCTACAGTCAACAGTGACGTTTTATGAGGTGATTTATGAGGGCCTCGTCTATTTGAGGTCCATCAAACTCTGCCAGCAGCTTCCATATGTCTCTCAAGTTGTGGAGAAGTTCTGTTTCAATTCCCTGAAATTATGTGATATAATTAAGCTGATGTAATATAATATAACCTTACATTAGCTAATTCATCGTTTTACTAATCAAAGAGAAGAAATCTGATTATCTAATATAATTGTTCAAGAACTTAAAGATCTTTTCACTACGTTTTTTAAATATTATCCTAACCTTGTTATAAAATCCAGGTAGTCTGAGAATTTCCCAGCGGTTTTTGCAGCCCCCCTCAGATTCTTTTGTTGATTCAGCAGTGGTAGCCGGTAGGTTTAGCAGTGGTTGGTCCAGGGGTGGTTGGTCCAGTGTACAGGGGTGGTTGGTTCATGGGTGGTTGGTCCAGGGATGATTAGTTCTTGAGTGGTTGGTCCAGGGGTGGTTGGTTCTGGAGTGGTTGGTTCAGGGGTGGTTGGTTCTGGAGTGGTTGGTTCAGGGGTGGTTGGTTCTGGCTGTCTCCATCAGCTTGTAGGTCTTAAGATGTGAAAATCTTTGTCCGAAAACAAGAGAACCGGGTGTTACAGAAAAATAGCGGCCGTACGGCGTACGTATTTGCAGCTCCTATTTACCTTACCCGCTCCTATAAGACCAAGTAAGACAAACATGGTACCATGCACTGAGAATGTGCCGGTCAGCCGGTGTCTGGCTGCTAGGAGTAGGAGTGCCGCCATATGTAAAATAAGCCCACTCCAGGTTGTCAGAAATAGTAATCCATAGTTACTATACGATCCACAGTCCTGTGGTATAACCACACTCCATTACGAAATTTGGTACTGAGTTGTTTGATCCAGGCACAGATCGACACCTCCTCCACTAACCCCGCTATTCAGCCCCTCTTCATGTTAGCATGACAACCAGGTGTTTAATCACCTACGGTAACCTGATATGATACCAGGAGCTTATACTCCAAGGTTTATTACCTGGGGACCTCAGGCTATCATGTAATAGAGTTAGGCGGAATGACAGGCTGAGCGCGGCCCAGTAAAAGGTTTACAGCGGAGAGTCAACGGAGTTTGAGGAGTTTAGGATTTACTATACTATTTAAATACCTTACTCGGGATTATTACAACGGGTTTATTAACGATCGGTTAAAATATGGTTCGGGAAAAATATGGCGAAATTGCTCAAAACCCACCACATTTTCCCGGTCGCCATTTTACCGGTGTCCAACCTTTCAATTTTAGATTCAAAAATTTTGTCTCAGATGTAAATTTCCTTATTAGAGATAAGCAAGTTTAGAAATTTTCGCATTGCTAAAACTTGTGAAACAAGTCGAATTATCAATAATTGTTGAAAGTAGACAGAATTGGAATAATGACTCGTGGTTAATTAAACTAGATGGAAAATAATTTTTAACATTTGAAGCGTAACAACCAGATCGATATTAAAATAAAGGGAGAGCTGTTTAGTCTTCCGATAAGTTGTAATCATCTTCGTTCGCGTTATCTTCATCTGGATCATCTTTTTCATCAGTTTTAATTAATTCAAGTTTTAATTTAACTGTTACTTTTACTTTGAGTCCTATTTCATTATGTAGAGATAGTCAATACCTAAGAAATTAAAAATTGGCCTATTTAAATCAAATTTGACAATAAGGATATATGACAAGAATTGGGCAAAAAGGTGATTTTTTTGCAATTTTAGCCAAATGAAGTCGAAAAACCTACAACAAGTGTCCCAATAGTCTTCTTTAGTGAATATAAGACAACGATTAAAATATGAGCACCCATACCCCTTGGGAACCCTAAAAGCTGAGTAGGCGGGTTTATTAACGACCGGTGAAAATGTGGTTCGGGAAAAATATGGCGAAATTACCCTAAACCCACCACTTTATCCCGGTCATAATAATCCCGAGTAAGGTAAGCAATTTTGAGTTCATATCAGAAGTGTCCAGTCTTGTTTGATTTTGAGATAGTATTGATTAATAGTTCTACTTCTCTACTTGTTCTATAATTTGTTGACTCGGGGAGAAGCATAGTCTTAACCGGACAGCCTCTCGTGATAAGTTAGTCTAACTCCCTAAATAGAAAGGGGGAATTTTAGTTTTAAAGTAACGTGTTGCTTATCATCCTTTTAATACGCCACCACATCATATCTTAATTCGTTGTACTTGTAGGAACTATGCAATATTTGATAATGTCGCAGGAATGAATTCCATATGCTCATGAAATGCAATGGGACTGTTTTCCCGGATAAAATACGACCATAGCATAATCATTGACATACGTTGCATGCCACTTTTCGCGCCGCCGAACATGTATCAAGTTCAACATAATCAATAATAACAACATCGTCAATCAATCTTACTGTGCCGCGCTCAGCCTGTCATTCCACCGAATCTCTATTAATGAACATGATAGCCTGAGGTCCCCAGTAATGCGCGATATTATAGTTGCAAGATTAAAATCTGCGAAATGTCCAATTAAGTATTTAAATTTTTCCACTTTAATTTCGCGTTATTTAACCTACTAAATACTGGCGCGCGCGCGCAATTGAACCACATGCGTTTGGCGCTGATGTTATCATGTAACATTGATTCGCGGGTTACATGAGAACATCTGTCAATCTCATAATCAGAGGGTGTTTTCTCAGTTTTTGTGGCTCGGCCCCCGTCTTGTTATTCGCTTACTATCGGGCTATTACAAGTATTATTCTACCTTATTCTGACTCTAACTATTGAGGTAAGTGTGGCATTATTATTTACATTTTCCTTATAATTTTGCTATAATACTTCTCTTAATCTATTTCAGCTGCTTTCATTTTGCAAGTATGATTGGTAACAGGCTGTAACTTTGGTACATTTTTCAAATTAAACAATTTTCTAAGAAAAATCTCAAATTTTAAATTCAATAAACGGGTAAATTCTTCATTAATTCAAAAGGGTGCATGACGAAAAATGTTTTTTAATTCACAAATAGCAACATCAGTTTAATAACTACACAGCGTTTCAAAATGTATCAAACGGAACTCTAATCTTAACCTTACAAAAATAAAATAATCATATAAATATAATGGAAGTCACTTCAGCGTTCAGGATGGTTGGACACGGGGACCCATCGGCCACCAGAAAATGCAAATCTCTCTCACAGTCTATTTAGTTCGTTAAGCTCATGTTATCTCAACACAAAGATAAAAGATAAGACATTTCCAATTTACAGTCCAGTAATTTCATGCTATAGCTGCATACTCCTCAGGTAAATATATAAAGTTGAAAATGTACATATATATCTAGAATATCTACTCGTCTTTAGAGCCGTGTTTGATCATTCGAACGAAAGCATTGTAGTCAAACATTCCTTCCTCGCTGATTGGTGCACCTCTGTACATCTCGTCAACCTGGCATAACAGCAAATTAGAAGGGATTAACATAATTATCATATTATAATAAATATCATAGGGGCTTACTTTCATTTCTATCACGGTGATTATCTTTGGAAAAATACTGGGAAAGCTTCCCGTTTTACTACTACCGATAAAAACCAACAGTTTGATGACGAAATTTATGAAAACCACATTTGCTGACACATGTTGGCTGCTTCAACTACCACCAGGGCTAGTCAGTTAAATATAACTGGTGGTGGTTATTACGAAAATAACCGTGACGTTATATTTTCTTACCTCGTCGTCAGTGAACCTCTCACCCATAGTTGTCATCAAGTCACGTAACCTGAGAAAGTAAAGTTTTATAAAGGAGCCCAACATATGTTAATTGTTAGTGTAACTCAGGACTGACATATAGTAACTATTGTGTCAACTAGGAGGCACGGGTTACATTATATAATAATTTTATTATTATGTAGTATATTTTATAGTATATTTCTCATTCATACTAATACAATAGAAGAGTAATAGAAGAGTATTCATCATTTAATGAAACTGAATACTGTCAATGGTCTGTGTTATAGAGTTATATTGTATTGACTACAACTCTATATTATAGAGTTGTGTAGAGTTAACAGTTATTGGCCAGTGTTTAATTCTACACAGCTGTACACACTACACATCATGGGACTGTTGACTGTTGATGTGTGACCCAATTGTTCGGATGTAACAGTAGTGTTTTAAACTATATAACATTGGACTAACAACAGTAGTGTTAGAAAGACACAACATTAGGATGGCAGAAAGCTTTGATTATTATCTGGGAGCCTGCCCTTTCTACAACAAAAAGGGATGGCTAGAGTTGAATCACCATCAGTTTAAACGATAGTGTGAATGTTATAACGTATACAACACGTATATAACACGTATATAACACGTATATAATGATATCTAACGTCAGTTTCTGACCATTTGGAGTTCGTTTTGGAATGACGTGGCCATTACATATTGTGTATAATATTAAAAGTGTGTTTATGTAAGTCATCTGCTATGATTTCAGCTAAGTGTTACACAGTATAAGTTAATTTACTTGCTCAGATTGGAAGACACAAGTCTCCATGCAGGGTGTGCAACTATCTGATTGAGTTCTGTAGAAAATAAATTTATAGAACTTGATTAGATTAAGATGATTCGCTTACACGGAATAAGTTCGCTTTATCAGACTTTAAAGTCATTCATAATTGAAAACGTTAGGTTGGGGAGTAAAGTGGCGTATTCAGTTAGGTGCTCATATTTTATACTTCAGTACAAATCAGCTTACAAAGCCCACCCATGCGTTTCATTAAGTTAACCCACAGAAAGCTGTATATTCTAGAACATGTGTCTAACAGCAGAATTAGCACTGCCCAGTTAGTTTTATAATTCGCTCGGTCACGTGATTAATTAAAACATCCTGCACCAATTACCTCCAACATCCGCTACGTCAGACGGCAGGCTCCCTCGTTACAAAGTCAAGCAGGCAGGCTCCCTCCTCTATAAAGTCAGGCATGCTCCCTCCCTCCCTCTCACTTCTCAGTCTAACAGTTGTCATGACCGTGAGATGAGGACCACATAAGATATGTTGTTCAGATATGCAGGAGATGTTATTGGCAAGGAAGCAAGCAATGATGTGATCACGAGATTAAGTGTAGAATGTGATCGTGTAGCCTGACGTAAGTGTTAAGGAATGTCGTCATCAGACATCACAATGTCGTCATCGCACATTGCTTTCATCAGAAAACATTTTCCGGTGAGTTAGAACTCAGACAGGTCTCATGGCTAATTAAAGATAAATTTGTTTGTCAGCCACTACAAATATTTAAAGAGACATGGTGAGACCTGGTTACGGACGCTGTATAAAGTTTGGTATGTGACTCATTATAATCTAATCTTACACACCAAATTAAAAGCAATCTGTGTAATGACACTCTGAGGAATGTAAACATTTTAACTAACATCTAGCTCCTACATTCCTACATCCTACATCCTACATTCCCACTCTTCAAACACACACATTTCTACTCCTCGAGATGTAGAACGTTATAAAATGCGTGTTCTAAGGGCCGCTGCTGAGCTCTCTCAAGCCCTTGAAGCGCGGTAAAGTATGTGGGGTGTGAATGTTAAATGAGAGGGAGGGAGGGTAGGCGGACATGTATGTTGCTAATCCGCCTGTTGACAGCTTTCCTACAAAACCCTCCGACAAGGTCTCGCAGAAAGCTACTGTTACACACGCTATATTACTGTAAATATAGTGTAGTGCGTGTAACAGTGCCCGACCTCTATTTGGAGTGAAATGGGAGATTATTATAGCGACCCTCACCACATAACCTCATCAAATATCGTTACAGTGAAGCCTGTGAAAGTTACCTTTCTTATCACATATCTCAATGTGTATGAGTTATCAACCTCTATCATAGGTCCTGTAACGGTCATAATTATTGGTAAATTATTATTGGTAAATTGGTAATAGAGGATATGGGATATTTAGAATTTATACTTTGCACACACTTATTTATTCCATACACCTCAACGAGCGCTAAACGTGTCATGTTGAGTGTTTAGAATGAGAGATATTTATTTTAAATCTCTTTAAATAAAGGCCAGACAGAGTACAGACCAGTAAACACGCTGAAAGACTAGCCCTGACTACAGCTTTAAAATAATCAGTCTTCTGACATATACACATATTTTGACTTATATAAAGTTGTCGCCCATATTTCCTTATTTCCTTTCGGGGTATTCGCAAAATAGACAATGCAATTTACAATCACTGATGCTGTAAATTACATATAACCATATAAGAGCGTTGCGAACTGTACAGTTAACTAGGTCTTCACAAGAATGTAGTAGTTAAAGTGGGTCGGTACCGGCTCAGCTAGAGTAACTGTAACAAATCAACCTATCAGAGTTAGAAACTAATCGCCTCTACTTACGGTGATCAGGTGATATGTTTCTGTGTGTCTGGTGTGTACCACAAACATTCGGACAGTAATGGGAGAGTTGGGAGAGTCGTTCACTCTTTTACAATTTACCAATTTCACTGATCATAGGAACCCTTTGCTACATTCCGGCAGTTTTAAGTATCTAATTTGAGAAACATACGATAATGTCGTGTTGTAACACAAACGTGACATGTCGTGTAAAATATGTACATATTTACGTGGTTCTGTGTCCGTTAATAAATGTAACTCTGGAGTCCGTTAATAAATGTAACTCTGGAGTGCGAGCCATTTATTACTGTTATAGAAATATGAGAATATGGTTAAATACTGTTTCTAGGATTTTGTAAGGAAGCCACCTCATGCGATACCAGGAAAAAAGTCTCTCAGTTTTATTAATAATATAATATAAAATTATGTAACTTATATGTATTATAATAAACTAAAATAACACGTACCTGTCTTCGTGTATCACCCCTGTACTGTCGTCGTCAAAGCACGCGAAAGCGTTCCGTATAACTTCTTCTGGGTCCGTCCCTGTGTTAAACAGTGGGTTAGTTTCTTAATCCTTGTGTTAATTACCAGCGTTAATTATAGTAGTACCCGTGTAAATGCTAATATTACCGTACCAGTGTAAACTGTTTAATATTTACACACAATTTCATTCCAAAAGTTCAACTAAGTAACTTAAGTAATGAGATTAGTAGTATGATATTAATAGTAATGAGATATGCAGCTCGAAGTTCAATCGAAAAGTAGCTTCACTAGGCCCTGTAGCAGTTACTTGGGTATATAAATGGGGATGTAATAAACAGTTTAACATTTAGTTACACACAAGGTCGGGCATAATGGGGTTGTGGGACGAATCTCATTACAAATGGTCAACATAAGTTAAAATATTGTATTATATACATATTGTCCAACTCTTAAGTCCTCACCACTTTATTATTTTACAGTGGTATGTGATATTAGGTTCATCTTTTAACTACCAGCTCGTAATTAAAATTTGCGGCTGCTATAAAAGTTTCTCACGGTAACAGGCCACGTAAGCACAACGCGACGCTTGTTTACAAGGTCATGTGATACGCGGTATAATGCAAACACTCACAGTAATATGTGATCTTAATACTGATATTACACGAGTGTACCGTATGATTTCGTTAGAAACGGTTTCATAACTCGAAACTCGGAATCTTAAAGAAACGTTATTTAAGAATTTCAGGGTGAGAATCCTTGTCACGTTTTTTGGTCAGTTTCGCCGGGGCTCATGTCTCTCCTCGAGGGAGCATTAGTGTCTACAGAAAAACTGACAAATCCTAGCGAAGTCCAATCCGAACCACATCTTCCATCAGAGGTGGTGCTGGGTCAGCTGGTTACTGAACGGATTGGCCTGGAGAATGGCATAGTCCAATTATTCTCAAGTTAACCACAGAGGGGGTCAGGCGCTGTTCGCTCACGGCTGGTTCTTGGAGCCAACACCATCAGCCCCACAGAAGTGGGATCACTGTCGGTGGTGGCTCACCCAGAAAACGGACAGTGTCTCTCCTTCTTTCTTCTTGGACTTGCATTGCTGCTGGCGAGTCAGCCAGTAGCAATGCAGCATCTCACTCACTCAATCACATCAGCAGTTCAAACACAGAGACTGGCACTCTCTACTCCGCCACGGAAAGTGGACAAAATAACCCATCCAGTCATGGAAAAATGACATTATTGAACCAGCCGCAAAACCATATAAACCACGGAATATCACTAAAACTCCAAAGTGAGCGCTCTACAACAGGAAGAGTCTGGAAAGCGCCAAGGCAAACTAGCATAGAAATACCGCGCACGAACTTATTTTCACAAGCAACTATAGACTACTTCACAAACGGCATCACATGACGTCAAAAGATAAATACGTGAAACCAAAGATAAACCAAAGGAACATCACACCAGGGTTCGAGTTTAATATCATCTCAACTCGATCCTCCTAAATACTAAAAGCACGACACAACCTCGAGGATCACCAGGGCAGGCCCGCTAGCATAATGCGGTGGTAGTTCCTCGAAGTAACGCACTACCTTTTCCGGGAGGGTGTTTCGACACCTGACTCCAGACGGGTTCTATGGAGTCTCTCGATGACGGATCATTATGGCAGATAACCTTAGGGTCATCGCCGATCCACCGGGCCATAACTATGTTATGTCTTTTGGACGTACCGGGCTCTGCGAACCCCATGCCAAGCAGAGCAAAAGGTACAAAGCCTGCAGTCCAAAGGAGCTCCATCAGACGTTAGCCACAAGGCGGACGTAGCCTCCTTGCTAATCCGGGGAGGTAGAGTGAGCGCCCTCGACCAAAAAAAAAAAAAAATGTAATATATTAAGGGGTTCAAAATCAAAGCGGACTAAATCGGTAAATAGTAAGCAAGTGTTAAAAGTATAAATTACCGTTTAGTTTTTCTCCGAACATTGTCAAGAACATAGTGAAGTTAATTGGTCCTGCAGCCTCCCCAATCATAGCCTCAAGGTAAGCATCAGTGGGCTCTTGTCCTGTAAAAGAAAACATTGTTATTTGATGATAAAAACGTGTTATTAAGATGAGCTTGATTACATTGTGCATTTCCAGGTGAGATCACAGCTAAGAAAATGTTAACTCTTAAGACAAACCCAATGAAGCCAACATATCGTGAAGATCCTCTTTGCAGATGAAACCGTCGTTATTCTGATCAATCATGTTGAATGCCTGAAAATTAAAATTGTATGACATTTTAATAGTATCCTACTGTTTTATCAAATTGTTTGTTTGATTGAGTTAGTCAAGAGAAGAAAAATCAATTACCTGATTACTAAGAGCTAAGTGAAACTGTTATATAATAACCTCTTTGAACTCCTGGATCTGAGACTGATCGAACATGGCGAAGACATTGGAGGTGGCACGGGCGGCCCTCTTCTTGGGTCCCTTCTTTCCAGCTTTTCTTGAGGCCTGATAAGATGATCATTATAAAAACATATTAATCAGTAATTAGTGCCAGCAAGAACATTTCAATCAGAATTAAGAGTAAAACTGCAATATGAAGTATTTAAATCTTTATAATTTGGTCATTTGTTTAGTACTCACCATATTGCAGCTGTAGATAGGGTACTTAGAAACCTAAAATGTTTATTTTACATAATGAGCAGTAACATGATACTTTCAAAAAAGGTATTAAATATTATATTGCAATCTAGGAATATTATGATATATCATATTCCCAATTATGAGCAATGAACTGCAAAAACCAATGATAAGTTTAAGGAGATTTCAAGTATATATGGACAAAAATAACAAAGGTTTTTCAACAGGCTCTATTGGACCAAATTATCTAAAACAACCAGAAAAGTCTGAAAACATTTTCAATTTGAAAAGTCTGAAGAGGGGATCAAAGTTTGGTGTAAACTTTCAACTAATGTGATTGAGTTGCATGACAAGCTGAAAACTGTGGCTGATATATAGCACCAGCTACTTCATTCTATATTGCAACAACAGACCTTTAAACCCTCTTAGGGGGCCGCCAAATTGTCGTTTGAATGTGGGACAATTTTGAAAAACTTATCTACAGTGCAGTACTAGCCAACTGTTCGTTTTGCTTTAGAAACACATATTTCTAGAGATTTTGCCAGCGCATCCTCTAAAATCACCTAATTTGTCTAATTTTAGGGAGGGGTGCCAATAGGGGGGTGCTTTTACGGTGGGCGCCAATATGCGACGTTTCGCCACTGCATGGGATACATCTGCATTAAAGCGTATGAGAAAGAACAAAGATAAAGCATGGCCTGTGTTTGATACTGAACCATCTAGCAGTAACCTCAGTTAGTTTAAACAGCTTAATTTTGAAGATGGGGAATTAAAGCAAAGATATCACCAAGCTGGATTCAGGCAAGATGAAAGAAAAAGTAAAATAAAATTTATGACATCACATAAAATATTTACAAAATATCATCATGTGAAAAAATTTATAATAAATCTTTTCCCACTAACATTAATAATAAATATATAAATATTATTATTTATCAAATACAATATTCTTAAAAAGTGTATCAAAACATTATCCTATTTTAAAAACCTAATCAAACTTCCCAGTGGAATATTGATTTATAAAACCCTTCTTTGCCACTTAAGGATGAAACCAAAAATAATCGTTATGTTGCAATTTTATTACTGACATAGCTGGTTCCCTTAATTCTTACTAAAACTTCAACATTGATCATGGATCATAGTGCATAGTTGATACATGTTACGTATCACGCGCGCGAAAAGTGGCATGCAACGTATGTCAAGTGCATAGAAAGACGACTGAGGAAACAAAACAAAGAGTTTCTCTCCTAAAGGTTCCAATTTTTTTCTACAATGAGTCAGATCATCAACTATTATGAACAACTTCGACCAAGCAAGAGAAAAGGAAGTCTCAACACGCAATTCTCAAAATTAAATATTGCACAATGTACACGCTGCAATGCTGCATAATTCCTTTATTCGCGGCGCGCGCGTGGTTGCAAAATTTTGTTTTACTTAAAATTTTTGTTTTACTTAAATATATTAATTTTTGCACACATTCTTACCTGGGACCTCAGGCTATTATGTTCATAAACATAAAACTTAGAGATTAGAGATTCGGCGGAATGACAGGCTGAGCGCGGCCCAGTAAACACATTCAAAATCAAAAATAATTTCTTGCAAGCTTGAAGCTGCAAAGAACCGTGCTTCAATTGTAATACTGTTTGCAAGTAAATATTACTGATCATCATGCATAACTTAATTTTAATTTTAATTTTAGTTTTAGCTGAAAGAACCAACCAGCTTACCTGGCTCGCCAATTTCTATGCGCGGCGCTCTTTTCAAGCTTCATGAGAGGAGCGAGCAATAAACTAGCAAGCTAGATAACCAACCAGCCCGTAGTTGGTAGTGTTATGAGTTTGTGTAATATGATTTGATTGGTTCCAATTAGAATTAGACCTCTCCATGAAAACACAGTATTCCAGTATATTTATTTCTAGTTCCTGGCATCCAATAATTTAATCTCATTCCCCTTGATGGTTCCAATTAGAATTAGACCTCTCCATGAAAACACAGTATTCCAGTATATTTATTTCTAGTTCCTGGCATCCAATAATTTAATCTCATTCCCCTTGATGGTTCCAATTAGAATTAGACCTCTCCATGAAAACACAGTATTCCAGTATATTTGATATTTATTTCTAGTTCCTGTCATCCAATAATTTAATTTCATTCCCCTTGATGGTTCCAATTAGAATTAGACCTCTCCATGGAAACACAGTATTCCAGTATATTTATTTCTAGTTCCTGGCATCCAATAATTAAATCTCATTCCCCTTGATGGTTCCAATTAGAATTAGACCTCTCCATGAAAACACAGTATTCCAGTATATTTATTTCTAGTTCCTGGCATCCAATAATTTAATCTCATTCCCCTTGATGGTTCCAATTAGAATTAGACCTCTCCATGAAAACACAGTATTCCAGTATATTTATTTCTAGTTCCTGGCATCCAATAATTAATTAATTCTGAGACCCACTCAATCAATGCGATGCTGCATTCCATGTTTACATTGTTCCTAATTACATTGTTATCTTCATCCATGATCGCTAATAAGCTTAATGACATTGTTTGTAATTTAGTACTTCTTTTTCACTTGTTTACAAAAGAAATATGACTCAAAATTTTTCAGCTCCAGTACCTTGGTCGAGTGAAATCGTTTCTGCTCAGATGTCCGCTGGAGTACTTCGTCCGCTGGAGTACTCCGTCCGCTGGAGTACTTCGTAATGTTGTTCTAAGGATGAACAAAGGTAGTACAAAATTTAAGATTGTAAATCTTTAGAATCATACTGTCTAGCGCCTAATCGTTCAAAATCTGGCGAGTAACTGAGATAATTAAAACCTGATTGAGATTTGAAAAGTTACTTACCACTGTACAGTCAAAAATTATATTTTTAATTTCAGCATAGTGATGAGAGAGGGCTATTAATGTGTGGGATTTCTGCTGCTTTGTTACAGTCATCTGACTTTTTCATTTTCACTCGGTGACTTTCTGAGGAAAGGGTTCTGCTAAAAAAGATAAAAAAGATATGCACGCGAGAGATGTTTCCTCTGAGATTATGCTGATGCCGGATGCATCACAAGCACATATTATTCGAACTGCAAATCGGAGAATTTTTTTATAATCCTGAACTTAATTTAAAATCCTTACTTAAAATCAGTTCTCATCCAATACTTTACAGATATTGCATCTAAGAGAGTAACAGGACGCTCGCAATATCTTGTATATAATATATATTTTCTTGTGTTTGAAGTCATTATATCTCAAGTTTGGCACATATAAATTCTCCCAAACTCTCACACATTATCCGTCATATAGCCTTGTAACTATCTGGAAAGTTTAAAGAAAATCTATCAGTCAGACCTTGAGAAAATCAAAAATATATTCTAAGTTATTCACTAAAACACTCTATTTTCGAACTTTTTAACTTTTTATTTTAAACAGATTTATCGTTCTGGTACCAAAATGCTTTACCATAATAAACGTACGGCGCGAGAACATTTCCTCGTCCAAAGTCTGACAGTTAACAACATGCGTAGGATTCCCTCAAGAGGTGAAAACGTAATCGCCACCGATTTGATTTGTCAATAAAGACCTGAATTTAATTCATTTTTATTTTAAAATGTGTTATCCAACATATTAGCAAATTTGTATAATACATGTATTCAAAAAGGCACGTTCCCATCCATATTCAAAATAGGCAAAGTAACTCCTATCCATAAAAAAGATAATAAAGAAAATATTGAAAATTATAGACCTGTGTCAATATTGCCAATCTTTGGTAAAATTTTTGAAAAAATAATATACAAACGGCTTTATACCTTTTTCACTGCTAATGACATTCTCAGTAATGAACAATTTGGTTTTCGAAAAGGCCACTCAACCTCACATGCACTCCACAAATCAGTTGATTCAATCACAACATCAACATCCAGTGGTAATCATGTTCTAGGAATCTTTATTGACCTAAGCAAAGCTTTTGATACTCTTGACCATGGCATTCTCCTGAGGAAACTGGAAAATTATGGGGTTAGAGGTCTAGCTCTAGGACTTCTAAAAAGCTATTTATCCGATAGATCACAGTATGTTTCATTTCTCAACACTACATCAGAGACTATGAATGTAAAATATGGAGTTCCCCAAGGTTCCATACTAGGCCCTCTACTTTTCTTATTATATATGAACGACATAATAAACTGTTACAAAGGCGATGAATGCAAATTTGTGCTCTATGCTGATGACACAAATATATTTATCACTGGACCGTCCAAAGAAGCAACATACTTGAAGGCCAATAAAGTTCTTGATTTCGTATGCAAATTCATGAGAAGTAATCTCTTACATATAAACATGTCTAAATGCTGCTACATACATTTTCTACCTGCATACGAATCTGATGAAACCTGCGCCAGGGTTAGGCCGTATGCCAATGAATATGACAAATCACAAGGAATATTTATAAATGGACACAAAATTGTCAAGGTTAGCAACACCAAATTTCTTGGTGTAGTAATTGATGAAAAACTTAGCTGGGGCCCACATATAGAATATCTAAGAAAAAAAATTAGGTCCACTACAGGAGCACTTAACAGGATTAAACATTCAGTTCCAGGGGAACACTACCAAAAAATATACTCTGCATTATTGGAATCACATCTTGCTTACGGAATAAGTGTTTGGGGCTCAGCCCTCAAAGACCAACCAAACGATAAGCTGTTCATAACTCAGAAACGTTGTATAAGAATCCTTTTTGGAGACCTAAATGCATACCTCGACAAACATGCCACTTGTGCACGAGCCAGACCTTATACAAAACAGAGGTTAGGAGCTGCTTTTTTCGAAAAAGAGCACACCAAGCCCATTTTTAATCGACTTAAATTGCTTACTGTTCAAAACTTGTACAAATACCACTGTATATCTGAGATATTTCGAATTATGAAATTTCGCACTCCATACTCGTTGTATTGTACTATAGACTCATCAAAACGTGATACAAGCAATGTCATAATCCTCCCAAGAAAAACCAACACTTTTCTTTATATAGCCTCCAAATTGTGGAATAGCATACATAAACGGATTCTAAATGAGAATGGGGAAATCCTCACTACTTCTGTATCTTTGGTTAAATTACGCTGTAAAAGTATCATCCTGGGATCTCAATCCACCAACAATAATAACACCTGGACTTACCACAACTTTCACATCGCCCCTCACTCAGTCACAGACCAAACCATTTCATCACTCACTCACCAAATTGCCGACCCAATATCTATTGAAGTGGCGAAAATTTTGTAGACAAATGATATTTCGATATTATTGCTGCAGCAGATAAAATACCAACATTATTATATTCCCAAACGTTTGAACCTTTAAATTAACTAGGAAAGTCAATCCTCAACTTGACTTTTACTGTTTTAAACAGATATGATGATATTAACTTAACTTATTATTATTATTATTATTTTTTTTTTTTTTTACATACTCCTTCTTAGTGTGGTGACTTGGGGTCCATAAATATAACAATACAAGCTGATAAACCAAAAAGAACAACTGGGGTAGGTAGGTAGCCCTGGTGGGTGCGTAAACTTTACGGTCTGCTCTCTCCAAGATCAGCCTGCTTCTCCATTTTACCGTGAAGCCTAATTTCTAGTTTTTATAAAATATACAATGCAAGTGCAGGTTTACTAATCTTAATCTACTTAACAACTCAATAGCCCAAGTCACCATACCCGTCGCGTAGTATATTCCATGGTAATAGAAGAGCTTTAAAGTTTTTCAAATTGTTGCTATAATTGATTTAAATAAAAATTTGTTGTTTTCTTGAAAAAATTTGTTGTTTTCTTGTACTTTATTAATCTTTAAGGTGTGCCGCGCAATTGATGATTTTTACAAGTGATCAAAATCGAGCGTTACAGCAAATTTTGTTCTTATGTATCATGTCGATTGCAGTCTCTGTGTTATGTCATGATGATATACTTTTATAATTTAAATTTTACATGTATGATAATATGTTCACAGTTGAGTTAGACGTCTAGCTATATTTTTATCGAAAAGGAATTATAATTATTAATATTACTATAAATTACTATAAATCATTGTAGCGCGATGCGTTACTGTGCCGCGCCGCGCACTCAATAAGGCCAGGCTTCTCACACCGACACTGGCTAGATCGGCAAAATGCGCTACTGTGCCGCGCCGAGCTGCCATGAATTGACATCGTCAATTAATATAAATCACACATCTACATCTGATGTACGCGAGATAACCTTCATCATGTATGATATCTCTGTCCCACATTCAGGACTCTTGCCTCCTCTTAAGAATTTGTTATATCCTTTAATAACGTAGACTTTGTTGTAGTCGGCCCTGTACATGCAATAGGAAAACAAATTTAAATTTTGGTATTTATTACTAACAATCAAAACATATCATTTCATAAAAATAAAGCCGTGCGTTGGTTGACTGCCCCAGTAAGATAAAATAAGGTAAATATTTTAAGCTTGAAGGTGCCCTGCGCATTTACAGAACCTCATGCGGCGATCACATGATCATGAGGACCTGTGAGTGCCAAATTTAATTTAAAGTTTCTAAAAATCATACATCACTACGAGTTACTCATGCTTTTGAATTATAGGAGTGCGGATTGTCAGGTATTTCATTCATTCATACTTAATCGGTTTAAAGCTGTATATTTAGAACTCACTATTGTTTAAGCTATGAAAGCAGAACGTAGATAATGGACAATATACCGACGACAATACCAAGGACCCGAGTGCCGCATTGACTTTTCCGGATCCGTTTTTACCGAAGGCTTATCCACCAGTTACTCATGCTGCATGTATAGTCTGATAATTTTTGTTTTATCTCCAGCAAGCGTTCTGTAAATTGGAGTGTCGTATTCATTATAGAAGAGCCAATATAACAATGCTAATCAGTTAAATCTTTTCTTTTGAGCTTTTGTCAGTATCCAACTTTCTGATCTGTAGAGCAAAACCCATTCACATGCAGCTATGTACTATTTCTTCTTAAGGCTTAAATAGCCTCAAAGAGAGTTCGGATTTTCAGATGTAGTGTAGAACTCAACAAGTTTTCAGCGGCTTAACATTTCATGTTCGTGTCCCCCTGTGCCCATAGCACCCCCATTTTGTCGCCCCTCTCCCTCCAAGACATAGAAAGATAAAATTGGACAAATGAGGTGATTCTAGAAGAGTTACAGGTAAAATTTCTAAAATAATATGTTTTTACTAGAGCTAAAGACGATTTTTTGCAAGTAATTTAGTTAAGATTTTTCAACCATTCTTAAGGAGGTTGGGACAAACTCTAAAGGAAAACTGCAAACCCTGGCACGGCAGATGCGGCTATTGAGGTAGTCCAGGCGTCCGTAGATGCCATAAAATTATTATCTGGTGGCTGGTGCTTGATTAAATAGAAATAGTAATAGTATTCGGATATATCTAATCGCGATATAAAGCTTTTTATTCTACTCAAACAGTGCTAGTATATGCATGGTCATTTCTATCTTCGATGTAATATTTGAAATTTTGCCTTATGCAAAAAGCTATTAATAATGTTAACCCCAGGACTTTTGAACCAGTAACAATTGATCATAAACACTGTTATGACACTTTAGCCTTTAATGGCCTGCTCAATATTTTTTCAGGGTAAAAGATATTTTATCTTATTAAAAAACTCCAAGGTTCCCTTGTAAAATTAGTTTGAATTGCAGCAATAGATCTGCTTAGGGATTAAATCACATATTTCGTAAGCCAGATTTTGACTATTTTCAATAAAAATTTTGCAAAATTCAACAACTCAAGATTTTTATTCCATTTTATCAGGACTATAGTCTGCATGTTCAGGTTTCTGTACACATCTGAGTTTTGGTCTGCCTTCTTAATAGTTTATACAAGTGGCCAGATTCTGAAAATGACTTATTTATAACACACACCAACGTTCCTTGGTTACAGAGGTACATTTTAATTAAGATAGGGGAGGGTCAAGCCAGAGCTTTAGTCAAATATTTTGTAAGCTCATAGTTGGCTGGTGTGGTTACACAGTGCACTTATGCAATATTCCATTCTACAATCTACAAATATGATAATCATATCCCTATTTTGCCATGCAAAAGATTATTCTTTTGTTAGGTCTATGACGTCTGAGCAATATCTTTTATGTTTTTTTTTATCTAGACACTTATTTTACTTCGGTGTATTCCAACAGCCACAATGTTACACAAGTGCAACCAGCCAATTACAGGAAGCCGAAGGATCTTTTTGGCCAGTGACGGTTAAGGTAGTGTGTACCATACTTTCTTCGTCCGAGACTTTGCTGCAATGTGCAGCTCCTCATTTAACCCTCACACCCGATTTCTCGAGTATTCGGCTGAGTAGACCGGGGGGCTGCATAGACCACTCATGATCCTTAGCTGAACGTCGACGACGCTCACCCCACGACCAGGCAGTCAGTGGGTTTCGAACTCGCAACCTAACGATTGTAAGACAGGCGTTCTAACCAACTGCGCTACCTGGCCGTTAATAATTATCATAAAAGGAAAGCATATATTTTACTACAAGCTATTATGCATGCAATTGTCATAAGGTGTTATCTGGTAAGCAAAAAGTAAAGGAGTTGACATTGTTATATAATCTTCTTGAGCTGAAAAGATTGAAATTTGCATTGGTTTTAACCATTTAATCTTTAACAAGAATTTCGCCGCGGTAACACCACGCACGATAAAATTTCCCTACTGCCTACAATGTAATTGTTCTACTTTATTGTATCCCAGAGTGGTGTTTGGCGCACGTGATAATCGTTTATATTATATTAGGCGTGCAGAACTTGTAAAATTCTGCGCGCATCTGAAGTGTCGCCGTCGATCTGTATGTGGTTTGGTTGTAGATCATTTCATTTTTGCGCGGTTTTCTTTCATGTTAACGATGCGTATCATGTCACGTCATATTATTGCATCGTATGCCAACTTTATTGACTGTAATCAACTATTCTGTTTGATGCTTACATCTACAGCTCCATCAACTATCGACTATCGAGCCTTTGATTTTATATAGGATTCTTTAAAAGCATACCGCAATCTTGATCTTAGTTGCTCCTTGAATGTAAATGTAAAGTAACATCTTTTGTCAACTATGTTTTCGCTTTTTACCATTAAGTGTCGACCAACTGTTAAGTAATCAGCAACGAGTTTATCAGCTGATATCATCATTTAATTTGTTTCGACTTGCTGAATTTTATCACTCGGTAATTTATTAAGCTTGTTTCACCAAAATAACACTTACATTGATGATTGATCCGCTCTGATGACTAATATCTTAATATGCTATATTAATGAATAAGAGTGAATTGTAACCCGATGGAAACCTGTGTAACAGTCGTCAAGCACCAAAAACTGGTTGCTATGCCTGTAATTAATTAACACATAACAGGCGTCGCGCGCGCAAAATAGACTCCTTTTATACACATAATTATAGGGGAGTGGTCTATATTGCGAAGGAGCAGACTTTTGTCATCACCGTAGGACCGTCGGGCCACCTCATATATCCAAACCCGATTACTTATTCCCTACGATCTTTTTGCCTTCGGCAAGAGCAGGGAAAAAAATTGTTTTATTGATGTCTACTTGTCAAACAGATGGCAAAATTACTGGTATGACACGAGTATTTTAGACGTTGCTCATTTTAACCCTTTACTTTAAAAACAGCAATTAACCTGAAATTGTGTAAAGTTCAAACAATTTTTGAATGCTGAACTTTTTACATTCTTTAGAATAAGGATGGCCGGAATTTTGGGCAGGAAAGTTCAACAAAAGTTGGCAGAAGCAATGTCAAAACGAAGTCATTGTAAGTATTTGATGATAAAATTAAGAATATATTACGGGCTTTTTAACCTCTACAAATATCATAATTCTGATTGCATTATAATAACTGACGGCTCCCACGCTTTGTTTGTTGTGGATAAATGCTCTGTAATATAATATTTCGGTGCATTCAATGGCTCACAAAGCGACAAAATAGCAATGATGCTGTACAGATGCCACCCAATTCGCTTCTAAGTGGCTCAAAATATTCTAAACGTTAAAAACACAATAATAAACGTTACCGATATAATTTATTTCCTCAGTCAGTAAAGGATGAAGTAGACACTTTGTTAGACATGTATGGAGCTATAACAGTTGGGGGTACCAGACTGGACAGAAACAAATTCAGGGATGTTCTTCATAACACCTTCGATATGACGGACGACATTCTAATGGACCGAGGTAAGATGACAATCTTTATTGTTTATAGTTAAAGTCAGTGAATATCAAAGAAACCTGGGTAATTATAGTGGAGGACTTCACATAATTTCTGCTAGATACGCCTGGAACTCCGAAAATACTTACCTAAACGTAAATTTCTGATCGTAGAATCAATTTAAAAGTGGTGCAATAATGATTGAAATGATTTTTGAATGTATTTCGATTGGCTGAAATTCTCCAAAAAAACCGCCAATTCTAAATCGGTGCACTATTGTTTATATATGCACTATGCAGTACAATCAAACTGGGGTTGTCGGGGGAACGGAAATAAGCCTGGTAAACTGGGGTTTTGATTTACATTTTACACTAATGTTTACCCGATCTTCTCATAAAGAAACTCCAGAAGGTACAAAATTCCTGTGTTCGATTCTTGTTTGGTTGAAAAGCTATCAAAAAATGGGACAGTGTCACTCCATTCCTGAAAAAAGCCCATTTTCTTCCAATACGACAACGAATAGAGTATAAGATTGCTCTAACCGTGTTCAAATGCGTCAACAACATAGCGCCGGAGTATATCACCAAATGTATTGACATCAAGAGTCAACCTGTACGTGTACTAAGAACTGAAGAAGACTATTTCCTCCTAAATGTTCCTCCTATTTCAAACTATAGTAAAACCGAGAGAAGTTTCAGCTACTGCAGACCCTCTGTTTGGAATCAGCTTCCTTATCAATTGAGAACACTAACTGATATCGTCTTATTTAAAAAGAAACTAAAAACTCATCTCTTTGAAAACGTATTTGTATAAGTATCATGTATTACCTCTCTCATAAAATCCATACTTCATAAAAATAAGTTCTTATGTACATGTTACTCATGAGTCGCTTTAGATGGTTTGAACTGAATCTTTGTGTTTTGAGTTCTTTATGGCTATAAAGCGATGTATAAATTCCTACTTATTATTATTATTATTATTAAATAAATATAAATTATCACTTTCGGGGGATCTGAGAAACAACTTTTTTCGGATCCTGGTATTTCGATTTCGAGGTTAGAATCTACTAAAGTACCTCCCATATATTGTTACAATAATACAAGGTGTGCACTGTGCAGTTAAATATCTGGAGTTGTTTAACTCCTCTATAAAGTGGTAATTGACGTTGTTTCAGTTTTCAGAGCGTTTGATAAAGACATGGACAGTAATCTAAGTCAAGAAGAGTGGGTTCTAGGACTTTCTGTCTTTCTGAGAGGAACCCTAGAGGAGAGGGTAGCATGTAAGTCTAATGAGAAAATCCAATCTATCCACCGACACAATTAATTTATATTTCCTAGCATTAAATTCTAAATCTTCGAATTTTTCGCCCCGTTAATTGTTACTGGTTACATAAGATTACGTTTCCTTTAGTTTTCTGACTGCAAATCGAGTCTAAAAATCTATCTTCTCCTACATTTTTTGAGCAATCACCTTAAAACTTTCAGGATATGTTCTAGGACCATTTAGGAGATTCTGTTCTATCAGAATTTTAAGATAGGCCTTAGAACATTTTTATTCGATTTTGAAAATCTTGGACCTCGTTTTTTGACGATTTTTCCAGGTCAGGTTCGAGAGAAATTTCATAAAGACCCCCCCCCCCCCTGCGCCCTTAAGATTGATGTAGGAATTGTCATTTCATACAAAACGTCATGTAATTGATATATGCATAAATAATATACTTGCTAAAGAGTTTACTTTATCATGTGCTAAAAGACGAAACAAATTTTATTTTGACAAAGACCAGAACAAATGTGTTGCGGCTTTCCATCTGTTGCAACTTTACAAGTATGCTGTCTTATGCTTGTTTTCCCCACAGACTGTTTCAATGTGTACGACATGAACAACGATGGTTATATCTCAAGAGAAGAAATGTTCCAGATGCTTAAAAACTCCATGGTTAAGGTTAGATACGTTTTATAAATAGAACATTACAGATTGCTACTCTGTAAAGGAAATATTCGGGTAAAAAGTGGAATGCATGATTTGGGTATTAGGCATGATTTTATTACATACAGCAACAAGGATTGCCCGACACAATTTCCTTTAATTGTTTCAATTGAATTTATTTTTGCAGCAAACAACCGAGGAAGATCCAGATGAGGGAATCAAAGATATTGTGGAACTTGTCCTCAAGAAAATGGTAATTATTCACCCGTTTTATATTAATTGGGCAACGTTTCTCTTTTCGGACCATTTTTAAACAAATTTTAATTACATGTTTTTGATGATATATTATGGGCTTATTTGTTATCTTAGGATCACGATCACGACAACCGATTGTCAATGGACGACTTCATGAAAAGTGTAAAAGAAGAAGATCTTCTATTGGAAGCATTCGGTCCATGTCTCCCAGACACAAAGGTTTTTAAAAGTTTTTAAAAACCCAACGATTAGTTTTTAAACCTCTACAACCTTCATCCGTCCTCAAGTTCAAATTTAGAGGTGTTGAAACCTTCAAAATTTAACCACTAATTTTGCATATGGCCAGAAGATAATGTTGTTCATTTCAGTACCGAGAAAAGTTCCTGGCAGATTTGGAATCAGGAAATGTTTGTCTTGATATCTCGCAAGCTAAAAGTTGAAGTTGTGGACTAGTAGAAACGAAACAATTTTGGGAACAACTAAAAATCTGATCAAACAATAATTGTGATCATGCCCATTTTATTATTCATAAGATTTTATGAACACTTCGTCTTAACTCAATTTTTCATATTCAAAGATCCAATCGATATTTTCTCATCCACCAAGATAAAGATTGCAGCTCTAACGTATATTTTAAACATGCAGCTAATTCTCTGATGCAGACCTTACTTCGATCAAATGAGCCGTGAAATGAGACGCACTCGGTCAAAACAATGTTGTATTCTTGTCGTGAAATTAATAATGATAATATAATTGTTTGATCGCTGCAACTGTGTGTTTAGCTTGTATAACGCTAGGTAAGTGCTACCCAATCAGATCATGTTCAGACCATATTTGGTTACGTACATACGTTTTGGTGAGTTTGGCAGGGCGTGCTCAGGTCAATTGCATCGAGTGCGTCCTCCTCCTCAGCATTGAGTTATCGTTTTTCGGAGTGTAGCCCGGAACAGGTGGTGTGTCTGGTTTCAGAAAAAATGGCTCTTGGGGTATGATCAGACGTTGATGTTTTCTTGAGTGTTTTCATATAGATTATAGAAGGTCTGACAACTTTTGAAGAAAGTGAATCTGGTTTCATCTGAAGAAATCTAGTACATTTTTCGGACCAGTCACTCCGGTAAATTAGTCACTTTTAATTGCCCTTATAATAAAAACACCGAAATAAGAAAAATTATTGGAACTTGGAAGGCTGGAATGATACATCAATATATTTTTAGTGGAATAACATATTCATAGTCTCCTCTGATCAATAGTAGTCCATTATACAATACATCTCGCTGTAAGAAAGTACATGATGTCTCCGGGCAGTTTCATATTTGTTATTCACAGTTCATGGGTGAGCTGCAGTTGGTACTTCATAAATCGCAAGAATATTGTACGGAACACGCGGCGCCGAACGATCAATGTGTGATCTTAAATTGCAGCGTTACCAAGACAACGCGCAGCGCAATCTAAATTACGATCCAACCAAGATTGTCCAGTCTCGTTGTGGTACAGAGTACTGAGCTAGTAGCTAGATGTTTTGGTTAAGGTTGCTATAACTCCGTTAGAGCCATCTACAAGACGTGTTAATCAAATTAAGTCACGTGACAGCCAGATCAGAGTGATTAATCATCATCCACCTTGCTATATCATAATTAATTGCCAAGCACTTAACGGGTGATACTCGTAAAATATCTGTTCCATATAGGACCGTCAACGAGTCCAACTCGTAGGTTGTAAACCTACAACGAAGCACGCGCATTCTGCACAAATAATGCATTGCAACTAGGATCGTAATAGCGGTGGTACATTAGTCGTGAGGGACTTTCTAAATCATTTATTATTAAGCATACCTTACAAGACATTTTTGTGGCGGACCAATTTGCGACGACCGAAATTTTGGCGGTCCGAAAATATGGCGAAATTGAACAAAAACCGTCACATTTCGGACGTCACAGAAAATAAGGGTATTTTTCATCATTTTGTTTTCTGACACAAAGCTAAAGGAAATTCAAACTTTTCTAAAAATCGGTAAAATCATGTTGAAACAAAATGAAACTTATAAATCGATTTCTTCATCTTCCTCTAAGGGGTCCGGCTCGACTCTTTCAGTTTCACTTATTGAGTTTGGTATTAAATTGTTTATCTTGACTTAGTCTCTTATAAGACGTTTATGTTAGCACATAAATGTAATTTATTGTAAATTTAAAACGTATTACTTGACATTAAATTCATCATGGAATATTGTGTTTATTTGTCCCACCATCATATCACTAACTTTTCAAGAACAAAATGAATCGATGAAGCCACAATTATTGGAATAAGCTAAAAATAATGCGACGGATTCTATTACGACGACCGAAATTTTGGTGGTCCGAAAATATGGCGAAATTTCGGGAAAACCGTCGCATTTCGTACGTTATAAAAATGTCTTGTAAGGTAGACACACGAGAAGTGATAAATAACTCAATGTTATAGGCCCGTTCTGATTTCAAAACTCAACTGTAGTGTGGGAAGATCCTAGTATAATTATAGGTTAAATGTCATTGATGTAATGTAACATTTGTGCGGATAGGAAGGGAAATTTAAACATTAGGAAGTTGAAAGAATGCCACAAGTAAAGTTTGATAATAAAGTAGCTTTTTGAGAGTGTTGGAGTACGTATGATGCGTGACCAAGCTAAGGTGCTAATGCTTATTAGTAGGTCAAAAGCTATTGTCACTCAAACCTCAAATAGAGGGAATTTGGAAAACTTTGTAGTGAAAAGTAGTAATATTTCAGATTTCCGAAAGGGGCTAAAATTGCTGTAGCTGTAAATAATTTCTGCGAATTGTGAAAACAAATAGAAACAAATTTCTAATTTTATTCCACAAAAGTAACCCTAGATGTTTCGATATGACAAACAGTAACATGAAGGGATAAAAATATTATATCCGATTTAAAAATCCTGGCTTGCCAAGAAAAAGACAAACCATGCCAACAGAAATAAAGTTTATCACACTCTGTTAAAAGGTATTGTAAACGAAAGTGGGACTAGGGATAATTATGAATTGATGATTTTCATCAAAATTATGAAAATTATTTGCAACTTTCATCGTATTTTATCACCGTATGCTGAGCAGTGAGCAAAATGTAAATTGCTATAAATTGCTATTATACGCTTGACTCAAGTCTAATTTTCTCAATCTCAGCTGAAACAAAGACACAAGGAGTATAAAAGTGTCTCTCACTTAATATCGTTAAAGCGTGAACAAAAACCAGCAATTTCACAGCACACTAGTAAATAAATTATACACTGTCTAGCAGTTTTTCTTGTAAAGTTTATAAAAGAGTCTTATTAACCATCTCCCATATCATTCGCCGTCTGAAGTAGGGCATGTCAGCCTGGGTGAAGTCGAAAGTTTTGTCCTGACTCACATACTCCGCATATTTGCACGTAAAAACTCCGCAGTCGCAGCCGTTCAACTGCTCTGGTATGTCCTGGAGAATAGCGTGCCGTTAATATTGGAGTTAGGTGTCACTTGGTTCATAGGGGAGCTTTAAGTTGAATTTCCGGCCAATGCAAATTAACAAGCTCACCAGACAACCCAAAGTTCAATTTTACCTTCTTAAAATAACGAGTTTCAAGAAGGAGTAACGAATTTAGGTGTTATATTACCTTCTCGATGGTCAGTTTCCAATTTTTGATATCTAGAGGGGATTTCTTCTTGGCTTGATGCTCAGCGGCAATATAGTCTCTGAAATAGGCAAGATTTAGATCATTTTATTAACTACATGAAATTAAGAGTAAAACTGTAGTTTAAATCAAAATTAGTACAGGTGAGCAACTGGAAATGAAAAAAGTTTCGTGATAGTTTTTAAAATTTAGGTTAGTATCAACTCCACTGAAAATAGATCTGAGGAGTCACCAGTCCTAAATGAAACACCTTTTAACCATCCGAGCGAAGTAAATTTTTGCTAAAAGTGGAACAAGGTAGTAATCAAATTAGAAAATCTGAAACGCCCAAAAATACCTAAGTTGCCAAAAATAACCGGGATCCAGCTCGCAGGCCCGTGCTCTAACTGTAGCTATTAGTTTTATTCTCTTGAAATTGGTCAATAAACGCAGAGTTAGGGGCGAAAATATTATGCCGTTGTGAGCAAATGCACTAAACTGACTGTGTCCCATGCAATCTGAGTCGGAGAAAACTTGTCCTAGTTTGTCAGAGAAGTCATCTCAGAATTGAGAGTCTGATATAAAAGCTAGTGAACCTCTCCTGGATCACCCGGTAGCTCTTGGTACAAATTGCCATCTATTCGATATGGTACTCTAGCCTCGACCGACTTACCACCATGCCTATCACGTCATTCAAACCAACCGATCTCGTGCTGCAAACAAGCGTGTAGAACTTGAGCCGCGCGCAATAAATGCTGTGCAATTACGCGCTTCGCACCGGGAATTTCTACAATTTCGCTAGTCGTTGGGTGATAATGCAATATTGTCCCATTAAGCGCGAAAACTGCCTCTATTGTTGCGGTGGAACACAGAAGTTGGCTTGCACAAGCCGGTATTCGGAAAACATACCTTAAAGCATTAGTGCATTGGTGGTTGTCCCCCAACAAGGAATCATAGTAGGTTATAGTTTTAGCTCTCATATCTATAGCTGCCAAACACCAATGCATTCCCAGATGTATAGGAATCATGATCAAATCCACTGCGAACAAATCAACCTGTAAGAGAAGGAGGCGATCAGAGATCTTGCTAAAATCTCCACAATTTATAACAACTGAACCAGTTGGCAGTCATGAGTCATATATCAATTCTGAATGTATCTATCTTGTCATGTGCATCGGCTAATACCTTTCGCGTCCAGCGCGCCAATCCCTGATGTCCGACTTTCAGAAGACGCGGGTAAAAGAATGTGTTGAAAATGTGAATTGTTGGGGCACATTTCTTGCTGCGGTCCATAAGCAGGTTGAAGTAGAAATTAATCACCTGAAATATTGTTTGTTTATTGATTATGCTCGATAGGTACCGGCCACGAAAATTAACAACAATTTTAACAATTAACACCTCGAGTCTTAACCTATAGAACTCCATGGCCAATAGCAGGCTAAACAAGTTTACCTCATCATTTAGCCAGGTCATGTCTTTCAAAGTCTGGATATCTTTCCTCGCTAAAGTTATATTGAATCCCTCGACCAAAGTTTCGAGTTGAGGACCACCATACATCGCTTTCTCCACCTAAAAGTTGTATATTATAATAGGGAAGGATGGATTAGATAGATAACCGATCTCGTTCAACAATGTTGATTGAACGATCGCCCGGTTACTTGTTCATATTGTCAAGCAGATGTTGTGTAGTCACTACAATCTGGCTATCTGACAAGTTGAAGCTAACCATTATAATAAATCTACATGTTCGTTTGAGGGATATTGTAAAACTGTTTAAATTTTAAAATAGTTAATTCTATCGTGTAGAATTATAAACATTTATAGATGAATTTTAAATATACCTCATCTGCCATTTGAAGAGTTAGTTGAGGGAAGGAGTCAATCTCATCACCAATGGCTTCATCCTCGGAAACTTCCTCAATTATTGATTTGTCTACCAATTTCTCAAATGATTCTTGGTGTTGTTTACTCTGAAATGAAAGGTTACAGTTAGATTCTACAACTCAACTAATCCTCGGCTGATGAATTTAAATTCATTAACTGTGAAAACTTTGTTATTTCATTTATAATGCACACAAGACGCACTAAATCCATTCTTCCGGATGTAACTTGGTACCACAATTAAAAATGTGGCCAAGAGCCAAGTAAAATTTAGGGCTTACAATTAGCTTAGTTTCATCCAAGCTTTTCTTTGTTTCTTGAATCTGCCTATCAGTTTCAGAAACATTTTCAGTGAGTATCTTGTGCCTGGAAGAAATTAGTTCAATTAGTTCTATTATCATGATGATTAATTATATGATGATAATTTCTTGACTAAATAAGTTAACTTAGTTCAATCTAGGCTTAATTCTTACTGTCATTTATTATATCTGGATTTAGCGACTGAAATTAAACTTAATACAAAATTACACAGTTAGGTTGAGGTTATATTAGATTATTAACTCTAACTTAATTACACTTAATGTGGTGCTAGGGTCGTAAAAAACGGTCAATGACAATAGAGGCAAAACGTATGTCCATCTCGTACGCGTTACGATAATACTTTAATGTAATTGTTACAAGGCAAAACACGCTATGCAAGCCCACTAGGACAGTCTATAGTACTACATACAGTCAACAGTAAATTTACCAAGGACTGGGAACTTACCAGTTTTGAAGCCACTGGTTGTCAAATGGGTTAGTCCAGCTTGACTTCTTGGAGGTCTCCTTTATCATTCTCTTGTTCTGATACACAGGGCCTGGACGATATTTACATAATTAGTAAAATCATTAATCAGGAAAACAGCGAGAACCAATAAACGGGAAAATACGTTAACAAAATAAAGTATAAACGCTATTGAAGAAACACAGAAAACACAAAACAAGGCACAAGCCCCGCCTAACTCTCACCTGAAGCTTCACTCCCACTGCCAGTGCCACTGTCGGAAGAGGGCGGCGACATACTGGTGATTACATGTCGGGGCGGCGGCGGCGCTGGCGTGCTGGTCAGATACCTTCCTCCAACCTTCCCTGGGGTGTCTGTCAGGGGGCTAGTCATGTTAGCATGTCCTAGTGTGGAGTGGAGTGAGGAGTTTGTGGTGTACTTGTGCAGCAGCTGACGGTACTTCTCTCTCTGAAACGGAGTATTTCAGGGGACTACTACTAGGGGGGCCAACGCCCCAAAAAGCCCCGATTTCTAGGGCCCTTTTTGGATTTTCGATATGTGTAGGGCCTTTTGGGGCCCTAGAATTAACTTCAATTTCATCAAGTTTGATATATGCTAAGTGCTTTAATGATATTATCTGACTACTTGCATAGTACTTTTATGTTTATTTGAGTGTATTTACATGGAGATTATGGTCCATAAACACTATCAAATAGTGGTCAGGGTCAAAAGGCCCCAAAAAGCCCCGATTTCTAGGGCCCTTTTCGGATTTTCGATATGTGTGGGCCTTTTGGGGCGTTGGCCCCCTTACTACTAACACTACTACTACACTACTACTGCAAATCATAGTACATTCTAGGTAGTTAAAAGATGCAGTAAGTAAGTTACAACTTTCACGAACAATTGAAACGATACAAATTATTTGGCTAACGAATCGTTAGGTGCAAAATAATACTGATTAAAATCTATCATATAACCTCTTGCTCCTTCATAAAATAAACTTCATTGGATCTAATCAACTGACTGAAGTTACGGAATTTATAAATTTAAAAAAAACTAGTTCATAACGTCTATTGTTCTGATCCAAGTTTTAGAATATTCCCCCGAGATAATTTGACCTTTAACAGGAATTGCTCGCTGTATCGACTTTTGTGAACATCTGTTAAAGATCGAATTATCGCGCAGACCATTTTTAAACTTAGATAATTTTGATAATAACAATAGAAGTTATAAACTGGTTTAAATCTGTGAAAAGAAATTATTAATTTAGTAGGTTTTATCACGTGTCAAATTATTAGACCGAAAGAAGAATATTCCAAGAAGAATATTCCAGCAGTTTTTGTTTAGCAACAAATGGACCGTAGTTAATCATCATTTGCCAACTAATTTCGATTTTTTACATTATTTGTTGTTATAAAAATGCTCATGCTTGTCAGCTATACACTATTGAGAAAAAAAAACTCATCAGGGACATAGCTTTCAACAAAGAAGCACAGGTGCGAAAATTGTTACTCTTCCCAATAAATTTGCGCCATTTTTGGATGGCGATTGCATTGACGAAACTGGTGAAAATCGAGATTTTTTGAATATTATTGACAAGAAACTTCTACTATGGAAAAAACTAAAACTAACCTGCTCCAACTGGATAACATCACGAATGGTGGACTTGCTGATGACATGTTTACGAAGCGCGAGGCGCTGTTCTGATACTGACAGAGGTTGTGGGGTGGTTTGCACGGACTGAGTTGAAGTGGACACTGTTCTCGGTGGGGCGGCGGTGTTCTCTGATTCTGGTGCTGCTCGGCTATCCGAGCTGGTGGGTTCTTCTGATGTGGTTGCAGCTGCTGTCTGCAATGGTGGAATGTTTATTAAAAACATTTAATTAAATCTATGAATCAATTTAATCAAATACAGTATGTTCGACGTTTGTAGACAGCTAATTTAAGAATAGACAAATTATTTCAGAGACTAAATTAAGGAGACATGATACATGCAACAAGATATCACGAACTAAGAGTAACAGAAATAGAATGGAACGTTGAACATTACCTGTGGGATTGGTGCTAAAGGGGCAGCCATCAACCGTTTTGTTATGGATAAAACTGTTGTGATGGGGGCTGTGATAATGCTATACGCTGAAAGGTGGAAATCTTTAATATAATCAACTTGATACGTTTGTGTGCTCATCGGTAGAATCTAACTAGTAGAATTACAACCCAAAGCAATGGTAAAAGTAACAAAATTTGGTTGCTAATTTCTAATTGATAGTAAAACTTTCGACGGCAAAACTTTCGAACAGTTATTTCCTACCAAGGAGCAATCTGGGTTACTTGTTCTAAAGCTCTATTAAACTTTTGTACAGATTAGTAACGAGGTTATTACAGAAATCATTCAGTTGGACACTTACCATAATCAAGTTTTAATCGTTTTTGGGGCGTTTGTGTTGAGCTCACAATTTCTTCTGGGTCTTCGCTGTAAAGAAAGGAAGTAAGTTAATAGTGACAGAAAGACAAGCAAACAGGGAAAATGTAATCAAGATATATCCGTAGTCTCTAATTTTTCCAGACAAAATTATGTTTGTAAACAACTAGGTCCAAAAATAGGACTAAATAATTACATCAAATATAATTACCTATCTGATTAAATATGATATTGTAAAATTAGGAAAAGATTCTATACCTGACAGACTCAGTTCTCCGCCTTTTCAAAGTACTGAGAAAATTAAGGCGATTACTTAGGAATTGCATCTTATCTCCATTGAGACATGACCGTAGGAGTTAAACTCTGTGAACTTCACATGTTTGTAGTTTCATGCTAGCTAAATGGTTTGTGATATATTAGAAATAAAGATAAAGGGAGCTTAACTTCAAGATACGATCTCGTTGAATCTCGAAGTTCAATTAGCTACCATAATTTAACTGATATATTCTAGAAGTACCAACAAAATGGGTTTGTGCAGTCAAACAGATATAAAGATTTTTACCTTACTACTGCATTCTATATCGAAAGTAACATCCAGGTATGGGTTGTGAAATTTGGATACATTAAACCTGTTTACATTACCAGGATATATTTAATTTAATTTCTGCATATTATATATATTTTATTCTGCAAAAAAGAAGGCTATATATACTATGTCTCACTGAAGCTTTGCCATTTTAGAGGTACTGTGGAAACCTGCACCCTTTAAAGAAATATGATGGATAACAATTTTACTGTTAGTTTTCCTGCACTAGATGCAAGGAACGATACTGGTAAGAGTTACCTTCATCAAGATCAGGTGCTGGAAATTGGGAAAAGGTCATTTAAACCTTTTGCTCCATTGATTACAGGAGGCTCAGGACCAAGCTTCACCAAGGCCAAGGTAGCAGCCAACATTTCAGAAAAAACGAGGGGTGCAGAATGCTTGTGTAATTGGCATTATGAAAACTAGACTGTTTTTCTCTACTTAAGAGTGTCCCCTGCTTAATTAATGCAGGTGTTCTGTGCTGATTGGGTTCATATTTGGCTCTAACAGAGCTGCTGACTAGCTAGCATGCAGCTGAGTACCAGGCACCCACTCATTTTGTGAGGTGAACAGCTGATCCCAGGAGCTGACTAGATCCTGCAGCTGTTGACAGAGTGGATCACATGATCACATCGCAGCTCCTGAATGAGTTGAACCTTGACATTTTGGGTCGATTAAGTTTTAGATTTTGAACACAATGCACTCATTTTAAACAGGAAAATGTGCCTGCCTAAATGTCTTAAGTTTAGGATGGTGAAGTCCTTCACATAGGAACTTAATGGACACGAGAGTCTTTCATTTAAATGCCCCATTACATTAAAAAAGATCACAGAATGCACTGTACCAAAAAAAAAGCAAAAAAGAAGAAAAACCAGTACATGAACAGAGTGCTACAATAATTGGAGAACTAAGTAGGAGTCTAAGCAGTAAGCACTAAGCATCACGATAGAAGAGTAACCTAGAAGAACAAGGAAGTGTATTTTGTATAAACATAGTTTGAATTAGTAATATATTTTAGGAAGTAAAGACTTTTAGTTCAGGTATTATTTAGTGATATTTTAGTGTAGTAGTTTTAGATAGTAGTTAGTTAGTAGTTAGTTTATAGTGGGAATCGGGTACAGGGTCTAGGGAGGTTAGTGAGAGTCAGTTGAGTGTTTTATATTCTAGTGTTAATTTTATTAACACAAACCATTTCAGTTTAATTGATTATAATTCCGTGTTTTATTTTGTATTTTAATATCCACAATATTAGTGTATTGATAGGTATTGAATAGGTCAAGTAAGGAGCAGGAACAAACCATTGAGGAAAAGTAAAGTAAAGTAAAGAAAAAAAAAGAACACAAAGATGGGTAGCGAGCGTATACCAGTGTTAAACGATGCCACGGACTATGGACGTTGGAAGAAGGAAGTCAATATATGGCTCCTCGGAACACAGGGGGGGGGGGGGCAATGACTACCAATGGAGACTTTTGGGGACTAATGGGGACTAAAAATCATGGGGACTAGAGGTCAACTCGTTGACGTAATTCACCATTTGTCCCCATAATTTTTGACAGTTATTTATGGTTTTCAAGTTAGTTTAATAACGATACGATCGAGATGTTTTGTCCAAGATAAGAGTAGGATAAATCTAAATGGGGACTAATGGAGACTAATGGGGACTAAAAATCATCTAAATGGGGACTAATGGAGACTTTTGGGGACTAAAAATCATGGGGACTCGGGGTAAAATCGTTGACGTAATTCCCCAAGTCCCCAAAAGAAGTCATTGCCCCCCCCCCCCCCCCCCCCCCCCCCCCCCCCCGAACACAGTCTAAAGAGGCACAACAGGCGGCCAGATTGATAGGATTTATGTCTGGATAGGCTCACAAGGCGGCAATACAGATTCCTCCTGAAGAACTGGGAACTGTAGCAAAGATGACAACATAATTGGAGAAACTCTTCTTGAAAGATGATATGCAATGTTTGTTTCAAGCTATAGAAGAATTTTGAGCTGTACAACTGCTCTAAAGAAACTTTTATTGACGAATACATCTGCATCAACAAATTTAATCCAGTGTTCTCGGCCCACAGGTTCCTCCTATTAAACAATTTTGATTTTGGTTAATGTGTGCTGACTCCACCACCTATGTATTTAACCTAATATTTAGTGTATTACAGGTAGACATTGACTTAAGTAGGTATTTTTCTCTTAAGGTAGATATTAAGAATTTGGTAAATTTCTTAATTGTAAGACTATTTCCATTATTGAGACGTTTTTAATATTTAATTTAAGAGGGTTTTTTTATAGGACTGGTTCACAGTGTGAACAGATTCCAGATTTATATATTTTTAAAGTGATATATTTAATAAATGATTAAAAGAACCAATTTTAAAGTTGCCATAGTAAAGCCTTTAGGTCCAAAAATATACCCATTATGCTCACTTAAAAACAACTCTAAATCAGTAAGCTGCCACTCTATTAATGCACCACACCGCTCCCTCCACTGCACTATAATGTATTAGATTTTATTAATTAATAAAATTGAATTTGATAAATTATTAACGTAGATGGAAAAATATATTTATTTAAATTATTTTTCTATTTAGTGCAATGATATTTTGTAGACACTTGTGATGATGTTATGTCATAATCTTTACTTACTTACTTACTTACTGAACTTGTTTACTCTGTAATAAATGGCATAGAATCGAATTTTTGTTTAAAACTGAATTTTGTTTAACTGATCAGAGAGTTTGAACAGAGATACAAGCGCTTCTACAAAGAAGCTTATATGAAGACGGGATAAAAGCTTGCAAGTTACTTCACCAAGCAAATCTAACATCTGAACAGAAAAGACTCATAAGAGCAACTAAAGAAAAAAATCACGTATGAAGGCATGGTTAAAGCTCTGAAACGAACTTTTGGAGATGGTTCTGGAATAATAAGTAGTTCCAGCAATGATCAGGGAAAGAGCACAAATCCTTACTTCTCAGAAGCAAGTTCTAATTCTAGTGGTATAAAAAATCAAACAAGAACCGGTATTTTATACTAAAAGTAAAGATTCTTACCACAGCAGCAGCTCAGCTAGTGACAGAATTGGATATTGTTCGTCTGGTGGTGACAAGAGAAGCCAGCATAGTAATACAAGTGACGGAGAACAAGAAAATGAAGAGAATGTTCTGTATTTCCAAGGTGGTAAATACCAAAAGATAAGAAATACACAAATACCAGCAAAACAATCCTATCAAAGACCAGCAGAGCAATCCTACCAAAGACCCAACTCGTAAGAGCGACATTTTCAAAGACAAAGACCTACTGGACAATCCTACCAAAGACAAAGTCCTAACTACTACCAGCAAGAACGTTTTATGAATAACGCAGAAAAATTCTAGAAAATCCTGTCTAATATGTGAATCATCAGAACAGTGAATAAAGCACTGTTGGGACACAGGGGCAAGTTCTACTGTCTGTGGAAAACAATGGTTAAAGATTTATGAAGAATCATTATCACAAAAGAAACATCTACTCAACTGGTGACGCTACCAGTAAAAATGTTTGATAGAAACTTCATTCTAAAGACTTATGTAGTAAATAGTGAAATACCGTTGTTACTCTATAAAGACAAATGATGAATGAGTTTCGTTATGTTATTGACATGAGGTCTGAGGAAAAAAAAGTGTTTGCAATTGCAATGGGATGATGATGAAATTTTTTTAAAATAACTGGCTACAATGAGCATTTTAATAACAATAAATAGTAGAGATCAAAAACTTTAATTTCCAATAGAGAAATTTATAGAAACACACCTTACAAATTTTACCCTGCTAACAGCTACCTTACTCGGGAATATTATAACCGGGATAAAGTGGTGGGTTTTGGAAGATTCCGCCATATTTTGGCAGTCATATAAAAAACCCGCCGACTCAGATTATGTGGTTCCAAGGGGGTGGTGATCATCATATTTTACCCGAAGTCTCATATGTGCTAGAGAAGACTTTTGAAGCAGTGGATGGAGGGCTGTAACTTTATTGGCGGTTGCTACCATAATTTCGTTATAAAAATCACAATTTGATTATAGAAATCAGATTTCAGGGTGGACCGTGATTCTCACTTCTCTTGCCCATGAATCAGTGAATCGTAGAGAAGAAAACAATTTATATGTTATAGAAGAAAACAAAAATAATAATATTATATATTATAATAATAATGTCTCTAAAGATTGATCGCTTCTTGTGTGCAGTGTGTAGACTAAAGAAAGAGGGAGTTTTTCCCGTTAAAGTAACTTGTGACCACATCCCGCTAGAAGTGAGTAAACTGTGCCACTATTTCATGGTCCACGGTGGATTGATTACTGGAGCAGTTGAAGATGCAAAGCCAATACGTTCCCCAATACCAAGCGGTGGGCAGGAAATTAAGCTCCGGCTGACCTTCAGAGCAGTAGCCCATTAGCGGACAAAATGAAAGTCTTGTTAAGACAACATTACCACTTCGAATTTGACGGTCAGTAGCTCAGGGGGATATCAATAATGATAATGGCGGGAACATTAGCGATAATGAGAATGAGAATACGCTTTAATGAAGATTTGACTTATTATTGCTTAGATTTATTTTCCTTTAAATAGACGTGTCTTTTTTTCTATTTCTGAGTAATTTCAATAACTGTAAATTGAAATAACTTCTTTAACAAGTAACAAAAACAGTAATTTCGGTTGAAAATTTGTGGACCTCTGAAAAAAACTTGAAAGGTCGGCCACCGGTAAATACATGACCGGGATAATTTGGCGGGTTTTGGGAAAGTCCGCCATATTTTTCCCGGTCATTAATTTTCCC